ATCCTGGGGATCCCGTACAAAATTAAAAAAAATCCCGTTACGGGATCCCAGGAATGCGATTTTGCCGACCTCTAACTGTAAACACTATTGGAGTATACATAGAATGCTTAGGCAGCTCCCAATATTGGCCAACCAGATGAAAAAATATCAACTAAAGTGAAGTATTTACAAAAGTAGGTGTAAACTATAAAGTGAGGTCCCGACTGTATTTAAATATTTTTTTATTTGATGGATTGTTAAATAAGCGTGAAGTGATGATTTAATGACGATATAAAAATACAGGAAAAGAATTGATTTATACTTTTCTATATTGTCAAGTGGCGCAATGGATGGACTAATAGAAAGCATTTCATTTCCGCTTTTTTGCCAGTCTTTTTATTGTTCATAAAAAGAGTATAAATTCTTGTCTGTGCATTTCCCTCAATTTTTTCCTTTTTTTGCTGCTATTGAGGAATTTTTAGGCGGCACTGGCATTTTACTAGTTATTGAATAGGAAGATGCATGCAACAAGAGTCAAGGATGGGCGCAAAGCTTTTTGCGTTATTTGCGTTGATTTTTGTCCTTAAGTTTATGTGTTGCCTAAATTTTGCCGAAAATAATGAAAAATATCCCTAAAGTTCTCCTACATGAGGCGTTAAAAAGGTGAAATTTTGGATTCTTGGACACTTAAAATATTCAGAATTATCGCCTGTAGCGCTGAAGAGCAAGTAAAAAAAACAAATTAGATTATCCAACTTTTTGAATTAGTCTAAAAATAATGAGCCCTTAAACGGGGCAGTACCCAACGAAGAGGTCCTTGGTCTTGGTCTCGATTCTTAGTTATGGGTCTCGGAAAATTTTTAATCTTGTACCCAATAATTTACAAATGATATTCTAAATACAACTTTTTTATATTAGAATTATACTGATAAATTGGAGAGGATCAGGCAAATTTTTTATTAATATGTGCAAAATTTCACATTTAATATGATACTTTAAATAAACAGCGCGATGAGTATTGCGTCAACGTTATCACTTAAAAAGGCGGAATGATACATTCTAATCTAAACAATTATTTTAATGTCTCATCAACATAAAAATATGGAATTTAAAATTTTCTCGGTTATTTAAAATTTGATTTAGATAAAAGGAAAATAATACATAAATACTTTAATAAAAGTCAATTTTTCAAGTCTCAGAAAATATTAAAAAAATACACACAAAAATATCTTCTTTCTAGTAAAAATAAAAAGAAGCGCATTTAAAAGAAGAAAAAGAGAAAAATGGCCAGCCATGATAGAAATTTGGCAATGAAAAAAAATTTTGGGGAAAAATTTCTAGTAGTAATTCCATTGAATGGGATATATAAATATAGCCAGTCAGTCAGTCAGTAGTCTCTTTATTTTTTTTCAAAAAAATATTATAGTCTTTTCATTATTTTTCTATGTTTATTCTACAAATATTTCACGTGGCCAAGAAGGACAGAGACAACACAAAAAATGTGGAGAAGTACTACAAGTCAATTTTCTTGGACTTTTTTTATCCGAAAATAATGTAAAGACTAGAACAGACATTTCACTGAATGGACAATTCACCGAACAACTAGGCACTCTCAAATAAATGTGTTTTTTTACGTAAATTGTCACAGAAGACAAGGAAACTTTTTTTTATTAATCATTAATGCATAAATAAAATAAAAATATTATTTTTAGAGTTAAAAAAAGAAAAAGTTTTTTTTAATTTTTAAAAGGTGCAAAAATAAATTATTTTCCATTAATAATTGAAAGGGAAATGAAAAGTTTTGGGGAAAAAAGTTGTAAATAAATGTTTGATTTAAATAATAAAGCTAATTTTTATTTTTAAGGGTTTTCTAGACAAAAAAAATTTTTTTTTAATAAAAATTGTATCAGATTTTTAATTAAAAATAAAAAATTATTTTTTTAATATTTGCGAATTAAATAAAAGAAAAAAATAAAAACGTGTGAAAATATTATTTTAAAAAATCAAAACTTTTAGAAATGAAATGAGATTTTTTAGTTGTAAAAGGAAAAAATGTTTTTTGTAAACTGTTTTTGGGGTTTTGGAAGAGTTTTTTCGAGTTTTGAGCTCATGTCAAAATTATACATATTTAGTAGGGTTTCACCGGAAGTTCCGGTTCCGGTTCCGAAAAGTTCCTGTGTTTTTTTGGTTCCGGTTCCGGGAACCGGAACCGGAACTCAAATTGGTTCCGGTTCCGGTCGAAAAATCGGTTCCGGTGAAACCCTAATATTTAGGTAACTCTTATCGTATAAAATATCTTAGAAAGGACAATTCACAGAATGGACATCAAACTTAAACCTAGGCACATTCAAATAATTTTAATTATTTCACAGAAAACAAGAAGGGGAAGAAGTTGGAGTAATTCGAAAAGGGATTGTTGCTTCCCTCATGCTCTCCCCTAAACCCCCTAATTTTCCCCTAAATGTTTAGTGAGAAAATGTTTTCCTTTAAAAAAGCTTTTATTTTTTAAAGCTCATGAAGGTTTATGAGACGCATAAAAGCTCAGACGCATCCCCAAAATAGAGCCAAAATGTTTTCACCTATTTAACAAAAAATAAATTCATTTTAAAATATTTAGTTTTTAATTAAAATTAAACAAAAACATTTAGTAAGCCAATAAATAAATAATAACAATTAATGTGTGTTTGCGCGTCTGGTCAATTCTCTTACTTAAATAATTAAATAACTACCTAATTAATTATTTACTTTTTGACTTTTAATTATAAAAATAAATAAATATTTAGAGCAAAGAACAACAAAAAATTATTTTTATATAATTTTTTTGGATTTATTTAAAAGCAGTTGGCCAATTCAATAAATTATAAAAAAAAAGAGGGAAAACACTTGAAAAAAAAATAAAATACTAAAAATGAGTCCACCACATGATTAAATAAAGAAAAAATTATTAATTAGTTAATTAAAAATAGAAGAAGAATTTTGGGTAAATATTTATTTAAACTAAAAAAGAATACCAAAAAAATTTATTTATTTAGAAAAAATGATAAAAAGATTAATTTATGGAAATTATGAGGAATTTGTTAAATTACCTCAGCCGTCCTAAGGGAATTAATTGACGAATGAAAAGAAAATTGCTCCAAAAGGGATGAATAACGAAGAAAATAAGTAAAGCATGGATAGGTAGAAGGTATATTTTTAGAACTTTCCTCCTGTTTCGAAGAATCATTTAACAAAAGAAAGAGTTGTAAAAATAACTTTTTATTATTTAAATATCTTCCTAAATAATTTCCAGAATTTTTGGTCCAAAAATTTTTATGAACAAAAATTTGACAAAAAATGCCATTAGTTTTGCCATATTTTTTGATTTTAAAAATTAAAAAAAATTTTTTTAATAATTTATAGGGAGGGTTAAATAACAGTTAATTTTAATTTTCTAGTCTTTTTTTGTTTGGTTATTTTAATATGTATGAGCTATAGAGCATACGGTTACTTCGTCTAAATAAAACAAAATCTTATTGGGGAAATTTAATTTAAACAAAAATTAAAAAATAAATTTCAGAATTTTCTAAATAAAAATAATTCTGACTTTTTCGATTGTATTTTTAGGACAACGTAAAATTGATAAAAAAATAAAATAAATTCTGCTTTTTATTTGTTTAAGAGTAAACAGAAAAAAGATCATTAAATGAAGAAAAATAAAAAAAATATTATTTGTTTGTGTGCTGTCATTTTGTGATTAAATGGTTGAAAAACGAAAAAAAAAGAAAAAATGTAATTTATGTTTAAATAAAAACATTTAAAAAATCGAAGAATTTGACGGTATTTTTTTATTTTTAATTTTAAATTTGGAAGTAATTAATTAATTAGTGATTGAAAAAATAAAAATTTAAAACAAGAAGTGTGCTGAAATAAATTTTAAAAAGCAAGATTAGAAAGCAAAATATAGAAAAACGAGAACGAAACAGGCACACATTGTCCAAACAAGAGTTTAATTACCTCAAATTTGTAACCAATTTTTACTAGTTTTGGCTTATTCTTTATTCAAAAATTTCTGGGAAATTAACTCAAATATTTAGATGTCATAGTCATGCAATTTTTAGGTTAGAACCTACATACTTATTTTTCTGAATGAGCTAGAACTAGAGACCGGACTGGGAATCGGATCTCGATAACCGAGTTCTCCTATCAAGATCTCGTTTCGGTCCGGTCTCTAGTTAGAACGAAAACCCCTTTTTATGAATTTCTTTATCTTTTTTACGAAAAAACAAAGCCAAAAATTATTACGTTCTATGTATTAAAATTATTTTTGATTTAAAAAAGACAAACTACACGGAAATAAATCATAAAAGAAATAGCGCCAAACAAATTACAAAAATTATTTGTGCCGAAAATCAATGTTTTTTTTTGAATCTACATGTGTACATTATATTCTGTGTATATTTTTCTTCTCCAATTTTTTAATAGTAGGTAATTCCTTCTTATCATTTTTCATTTTCTCATAAAATTCTCTTTTATTTTAGTTAATAAATAAAATTAATTATTAAAAATATACTCTCTTCCTATAAAATTAAACTTAATTTTTAAGGTTATTTTTCAAAGCATTTTCTTTTTCGATTAATTAAAATATATGGCATCTATTCAATCTGTGAGTAATCAATTGATTAAATTAATCATAAATAAAATAACACACATTCACTAACAGAAAACATTTTTGCTGTTAAACGAAGCACGGACTTAACAGATTTTAAATAAAATTTACTTTTATGTTCGACTCAAATTTTGGGGTATTTCTGATTTGGTCTTTGCCTTCCTTTTCACAAAAAAGATACTTTAAATCAGAGCTGGGGATCCCGACCGAGGCCGGTATAGGTATCGGGATCTGTATCATCATTCCAAAATACCGATTAGGTCGGAATCCTGATGCCGCCCAACCCTACATTAAATCAAAAAAATAATTTAAGTTAACTTCCTCCTCAACACAACAACAACGTGAATGTTTATATAAAGTGCTTGTAATTGGGGATATGGGAACAGGCAAAACTTCATTAATTCAAAGATATATTCACGACTCATTTCCATCTTTATATAAACCGACAATTGGCGTTGATTTTGCTACAAAACTTATTCAATATGAAGATACTTTGATTAGACTTCAATTTTGGGATATTTCTGGTAAGTATTCCTTTTTAAATGGAAATTAAAAAATATTCAAATTAAAAAAATAAATTTAAATTTAGAGCATATATGTATTTTTATTGGTAAAATTGAACTTAGTACCCCCCTCAAGAAAGTGGAAAAATGGCCAGTCTTAAACTGTGTTACCTACTTTGCTCTATGACAATAAGTACTCAGCTCTGTTTTTAGAACCAATGTCAACGTGGGTGTGTGGACCAGCTCTTTTATTTGTATAAGGTTTGCCGTACTAGCATGATCTTTTATGGGAATAAAGAAACTAGTCATCTAGAGTTCTGGTACACCCACACAATACCGGATCATTGGTTCTAAAAAGCAGAGCTGGGTACTTATTGTCAGAGCAGTCACACATTTAACAAGGACCGTTTTTCCACTTTATGGAGTGAAAAAAAGGGGGGGGGGTACGAAGTTTTGTTTTGAGGTATTTGAAGTTAAAATAATTTTATTTTCCAAAGTTTTTTAGTCAAAGTTTCTATAGTTTTACTTATTTTAGAGAGCAATTCAAGAAAATAAATAATAAAAATATTTTTTCAACAAAAAATTATTTTTAGGCCAGGAAAGGTTTGCCAATATGACTCGAGTCTATTACAGAGATTCACATGGAGCATTTATTGTAAGAAAAATAAAAATTCTTTTAATCTTTAAAAAAGTATTTTTAACAATTAAAAATTTTTTGAATTTTTAAACTTAAAAATGAGAGACGTCACATTAAACTTAGAAATGACAGACGAAATTTTTTTCAATTTAAAATTTTGAATTTTAATATTTTAGATTAATTCTAATATTTCTAAAAAAATTTTTAGGTCTATGACTGCAGTAGTAAGCGAAAAGATGAAACATTTTCTGGGGTAAATTTTTAATCATCTATCAAAAAGTCCGCTTGTTTATTTAACATACCCTCCTCTGGAAACCAGAGGCGGGTCGGAAAAAGTTCTTTTTGCAACTCAAAAGTCAAATTTGAAGGGATTAAAAAAGATAATGAGGGATTTGGGTTAGACTGTATATCAGAGAATCTATAGGATCTAAATTTACGCCCTATAATCTCTCTTGCCTCTCGGCCTTCCAAATCGGTGACAGGTTTAACTGTAAAAACACTAATTATATCGCCCTTCTTAAACCCAACTCGAAAAAATATGAGAACCCCTTAATAGCACAATAATTTATTAGAATATATACAAGCACAATACATATGTAGCAATACAATACAGTAAAATACAATTATAGCGAAAACGAATGTCGAAATATTTATACAATCATGAGGAAAATCAATAGGGTGAAATATCTCAATTTTATCTTTCACATCCCTCATTCCCAGTCATATGGATGCTCAGGGATCCTGTTCTCGGTGAGATATGCGCGCAGCATCTTCATTATCCAGCTGTAGTCTGGACGACCGTAGAAACGCATCTCGTCTATATGCCTCAGGATAGTGATGAATTCATCAGGGCAACCAGCGACGAGGGCACGCACAGCATCAGTTCGGACCTTCAGTGGATTGTTCGGGAGTCGAGCTTCTTTGAACGTACCAATCTGCAAAATCAATTATTTAGTAGTTAAGAATTTCTTAAAAATTCGTACCGCATCCATGTCGCCGACACCGCTCCAAGGAAGTTTGCCGGCAAAGATTTCGACCATCATGTAGAACCTAGTAGGGAAAAAGTTAGAATTTGAAGGAAAAAACTCGTCTATCAGTGACTTACCAGGATTCCATGTCATCCTTACGTGCGTATTCTCTTTTGATGTGTGCTGATGTAGCCGCATAACGTGGAGTCCCTCGGAAACGTGCAGACTCCCTTGGACGCATCAACGACCCATCTGAGTGCATGAACTTTCTCGCGATCCCAAAATCAAGCACGTAGATTATCTGCTGTTCTCCCTCTTCCTTCCGTCCGGTAGTCGTGTTTGCCGGCTTGATATCCCGGTGGAGATATCCAATGCCATGAAGAGCCCGTAGCGCGTTGACCATCTGAATTGAGACGCCGATCGCTGTACCAGGAGAGAAGCGTCGACCAGGTCGAGCTTTGACGAGTTTGTCCAGTCCTGGGCCAACCAGCGACATCCTAAAAGAAAAAGGTAAGTTACTGCTTAATTTACTGCTCCCTAAAAAACCCCGTTCTACCCGTATAGTATGTAATCCAAAATTCTTACACGATATAGTTGAAGGACACCTTTCCAGCAGGTCCAATGGTCTGACTGTCCCTGCCGATGTCGAAGCACTTAGTGAAGTGACGGTCGTCCTTTATGCGGTGCAGTTCCTGAAGAACATGGGCCTCCATTGCTAGTAGCGGCATTGACGCATCGACTGGCTCAGTTTTGAGAGCCCCTTCCCTCAAGCCGAATTTGCAGTGGTAGACAGCTCCGAATGCACCGGCACCAAGCTTTTTGATGATCGTCCATTTCTCCGCAACTTTCATCCCTGGCGATAACTCGACGAGCTGCGGCGGCATTCCTGAAGAATCTGTTGAGAGCTCCGGAAATGAGATAAGCGCAGGAAGGTATACAGATGACTGAAAAGCAAAAAAGTAATTGATGAAGATGAACGACCAAGATAAACTAAAAAACTAAACTGTACCTTGGAAGATAACGTCGTGACGAGCAAAGCCAAGTGTGCCAAGAGCCAAGCAGGTTAGAGACAGCGACCAATGCAAGCAGCGTGAGTTAATTGGGTGTGGTTGTGAACATCAAAAATGTGTTGGCTTTTATAATCTTACTCCTTATTGAGTCACTAGCCTTTATTTACGAGTTTCTATCTCGATTATAAAAGCCAACACATTTTTGATGTTCACAACCACACCCAATTAGCTCACGCTGCTTGCATTGGTCGCTGTCTCTAACCTGCTTGGCTCTTGGCACACTTGGCTTTGCTCGTCACGACGTTATCTTCCAAGGTACAGTTTAGTTTTTTAGTTTATCTTGGTCGTTCATCTTCATCAATTACTTTTTTGCTTTTCAGTCATCTGTATACCTTCCTGCGCTTATCTCATTTCCGGAGCTCTCAACAGATTCTTCAGGAATGCCGCCGCAGCTCGTCGAGTTATCGCCAGGGATGAAAGTTGCGGAGAAATGGACGATCATCAAAAAGCTTGGTGCCGGTGCATTCGGAGCTGTCTACCACTGCAAATTCGGCTTGAGGGAAGGGGCTCTCAAAACTGAGCCAGTCGATGCGTCAATGCCGCTACTAGCAATGGAGGCCCATGTTCTTCAGGAACTGCACCGCATAAAGGACGACCGTCACTTCACTAAGTGCTTCGACATCGGCAGGGACAGTCAGACCATTGGACCTGCTGGAAAGGTGTCCTTCAACTATATCGTGTAAGAATTTTGGATTACATACTATACGGGTAGAACGGGGTTTTTTAGGGAGCAGTAAATTAAGCAGTAACTTACCTTTTTCTTTTAGGATGTCGCTGGTTGGCCCAGGACTGGACAAACTCGTCAAAGCTCGACCTGGTCGACGCTTCTCTCCTGGTACAGCGATCGGCGTCTCAATTCAGATGGTCAACGCGCTACGGGCTCTTCATGGCATTGGATATCTCCACCGGGATATCAAGCCGGCAAACACGACTACCGGACGGAAGGAAGAGGGAGAACAGCAGATAATCTACGTGCTTGATTTTGGGATCGCGAGAAAGTTCATGCACTCAGATGGGTCGTTGATGCGTCCAAGGGAGTCTGCACGTTTCCGAGGGACTCCACGTTATGCGGCTACATCAGCACACATCAAAAGAGAATACGCACGTAAGGATGACATGGAATCCTGGTAAGTCACTGATAGACGAGTTTTTTCCTTCAAATTCTAACTTTTTCCCTACTAGGTTCTACATGATGGTCGAAATCTTTGCCGGCAAACTTCCTTGGAGCGGTGTCGGCGACATGGATGCGGTACGAATTTTTAAGAAATTCTTAACTACTAAATAATTGATTTTGCAGATTGGTACGTTCAAAGAAGCTCGACTCCCGAACAATCCACTGAAGGTCCGAACTGATGCTGTGCGTGCCCTCGTCGCTGGTTGCCCTGATGAATTCATCACTATCCTGAGGCATATAGACGAGATGCGTTTCTACGGTCGTCCAGACTACAGCTGGATAATGAAGATGCTGCGCGCATATCTCACCGAGAACAGGATCCCTGAGCATCCATATGACTGGGAATGAGGGATGTGAAAGATAAAATTGAGATATTTCACCCTATTGATTTTCCTCATGATTGTATAAATATTTCGACATTCGTTTTCGCTATAATTGTATTTTACTGTATTGTATTGCTACATATGTATTGTGCTTGTATATATTCTAATAAATTATTGTGCTATTAAGGGGTTCTCATATTTTTTCGAGTTGGGTTTAAGAAGGGCGATATAATTAGTGTTTTTACAGTTAAACCTGTCACCGATATTGTATGCTTCCTCCCCTTTCTTATCGACTAATCATCAGAGGTGGGTCGGAATTCCAATTTCTGATGTTTTTTCCTTCAGATTTCCGAAATTTTGGAAAAATTTCCGATAATTTGTAAAGCATATTTCTGACTAAAGATTTTACAATCTGGCTTCTAGCCTTCCAAATTTCTCAAAATTTTCACCTCTTCGATGGAAAAAAGAGAGCGCTGAAAAAGGAAGGTGAAATGGTTTCAGAGTTTTGATTAAACTTTGTAGACTTTGTAAAATTAAAAAAAACTTATTTTCAAATTAAAAAAGGCTCTTCGTTGGAAAAAAGATTTAGATTCAAAACTTTTATTAGACAATGGACAACCAATTCCAGCTATTTTATTAGCAAATAAATCAGATTTAGAAAATACTTTAACGACACAACAATTACAAGGGCAAGTAAAGAAAGGGAAATTTGCATCTGGGTAATATTGAGAATATTTCTTTAAAAGAAATTTCTTTTTAAAGATTTAAAATTAGCGTTAAAAATGGTGATGGAATAGATACTGCACTTAATTCTTTACTAATGAGCATTGTTAGTAATGAAAGACATAGTCTTTATTTAATTCCAATGTTTGTTTTTTATAAAATTTTGAGATTTTAAAAAGTTTTTCTGAGAGAAAACGGAGGTTTAGTAATATTTTTGAATTTTTATTGCCGTTCTCAGAGTTGTGGCTGACCCTCGGGTTTCTAATTAAAACCATTTTTAGCTAAATTTTTTAAAATATTCCTCTCATAATTAAGTTCTCACTAAACATTTCGGAGTAAATACATATTTAATAACATTAAACGCCAAATCTTTGGGTTTTCAGTAGTGCTTAGCCGGAACCGCAAATTTGGCCTGAACCGAAACTGAATTTTTTGGCCTACGGCCTTCTAAAATTTTACCGGACCGTAACTGAAGGACCGGAACCTGAACCAAAAAATCCCGGAACTTCCGGCGAAGCTCTAGTTTTTAGACGGTAAAGAAGCCAAAATTTCTTTAAATAATTTATACATAGAGTTCTGGTTAACTTTTCCCTTATAATTCAATTTTATTTTTTTTAAATTTTTTTAATTAAAAAATATTTTCTTTTAAAAAAGGATTCAAAGAGACCAAGAAGTTCGTAATTTAGCATCAGAAGAAGAAGATAATATTGACAAGAAAAATCAGCGAAGAATTAGACGTTTAACTGATGGAATTTGTTGTTAATTTAATTTTTATAGAAAATGAATTGTTTTTGATTTTTTTAAGTTAAAGTATCTCTACAGACAATTTTTTTTATATTTTTCTTTTACATTTATTGTATCTCGTTAATTAAATTCTTATTTTTTTAATGGTGAAATGTTTTGTTCAGTATATTTTTTGAATTAATTTTCCAGAGCAAATGAAATTAATTTTTTGTCGTATTTTTAAAAATATTTTTTAGATTCTTTTAGTGCTTAGAAGGAATTGTTTTTAAAAAATAATCTCTCATTTTAAAAGTTTTAGCTTAATTTCTAGTTGGAATTTACAATTTGATTTTTGCAAAAAAGCACAATTTTGAGTGGGGCTAATTCGAGGAATTCCAAGTCACGGAATTACCAAATTTTCTGGCAGTGTTTTACATAAAGAAAAATACAGTTGGGCTTGTTTAGAGGAATTAATTATTCCAATTTTTAAGTTTTATTTAAAAACAAATAATCAAAAAAGGCAGTCTATTCAAATAAAAATTCAAAAAAATAATTTTTTTATCTTTCCGAAATAGGGGAAATTGAAGTTGAAGGTCTAGTAGTAGGAGTACTTCTTGTAGCATCAGTAATATTTGTATTAGAATGAAATCGTGCTAATCCTCTAGAAAATTTATCTTCCTGTCTTCGTTGTGAAGGACGTAAATTAACATTATTAATTCCTTCATTTTCTCGAGAATTGTCAATATTGTAGGGCAAACCATTAAAAATAGGTTCTCCAAAAATTCTTTTTGTTGATTTGTAAATGTACTAGAAATTTTCAAATTTTATTTTAATATTTTTTTTATTCACCGGATTCTCATCAGCAGACCAATAAAGTGTTTGTTCTTCTATTGGGCGTATTGAAAATTGCTAAAATAATTTTTTTTAAATAATTTTTTTCTCCAAAAACAAACAAACATGTAATTCTGGACTAGGAGGGCTAATAAAAGAAGAACCAGGAATTGCTCTATTAAAAGTATTATCGTCAATAGGGCTTGTAGTACAATAACTAATTAATGATGGAAGTTGGGAATTTCTTCTAGGCTTGCCATGGTGAAGAAGATAAGAACAACTTTTAAGTTTGGGGAAGTAAAATTATTTAAATGGAAAGGAAAAAAATTGGGGCATTTTTGTATTTTCTCCAACTTAAAAAATGCGAGAATTTTTTGGCAAGGCAACAAGTCCGATAAAATTTACAGAAAAATGTTCAGATTTTCTGAATAAAAGCAATGGTGTTTGAGTGGATGGAAATAACCTTTTTTTGTATAACTTTAAGTTTCTAATTCTATCTAGTCATTTATTATTTCCTAGGATTGGGGCATGCCCTCTACATACTAAAGATCCTTCCGAAAAAAATTAAATTCTCGATTTCGGCAACCGCGATCCGATCAAAAAACGATGGAAGTTGTGAATTCGATGGAAGTTGTGATTTCTTTTGGGAATGCGAACGGCAGATTCCCTTCTTATAGTTTAGAAGAAGGTTCACTTCTTACTCATTTTAGTCTTTCCCAGAATTTATTTAAAAATCTTCCAATTTACCGTAAAATACAAATAGTTCCAAAAATAATTTGTAAGGAACAAGCAATTGCTGAAAGTCCAGCAAAGCATAAAGCAACAATTAAAATAATTTTTTGTTTATTATTAAATCCAATTGAAGCGCGGGCATTAAAAAGAATTTGCTAAAAATAAATTTAAATAAATTAATTTTTGACTGAAAAATTACTAAAAAATAAGTATTTGTAATTGTTGAATTGAGTGTAAAAAGAGCTAAAGAAGACAAAATAATTTGTAATAATATTGCAGACAATAAAAATTGAGAATTTTTTAAACAAATAATCTAAAATTAAAAATAAAATTTTTTTCATGTCATATTTTATAAGAATGTTAATTCCAAAATAAATTAAAATTTGCAAGCCAAACTGGTAAAGTTAACATATTTACTTTCTATCACTGTATATTTAACAGGCCTAATTTTACAGATTTTAGGAAGGGACTTAGTCCTAGTCAGTAAAACGAATAAAATTTTTAAAAATCCAAACCCGCATCATTACTAAAATTTTAATAACCAAAAAAATACCTGAATAACAAAAACAGTAAATCCCAACAATCCATTACCTAACCGATAATATTGGCTTTGTTCTAAAACAGCTTCCCCCCAATACCATTTATCTATTTCAAAAAATATTTCACTTCCAATAATTGTAAAAGCATAGAAAAGTGCGCTTAGTGAACAACAAAAATGTAAAACTGGTAAAATAATTGTTTAAAAAATAATTTTTTCTTGGATTTAAGTGCTAATAAAAAATTAAGAAAAGACTTTTCCCTCACTTTATTAAATGATTTTCATTTTTTAATTGGGTACAGCCCAAGTAGGTGCGCGGCCAAGAAGACGCAAAGCCTTAACTAGCTTCAAAATTTAGTTTAAACGATTCCTTTCATCGAGCCAAAGAGAATGGTACCAAAATTGTTAAGGTCCAGAAATTTTCCTACTTGGGCGTGTCCCTTTTTAATTATTTTCCTTTCCATTTCGGAGTGATATCCAGCTTTAAACAACATAACAAGAAATTTATTTATATTTACCCCCATATTTTCTTTCATTATTCTTTTGTTTCCCCAATAAATTTCCAAACACAAAAACTCCATAAATTGAAGTAATTAAAGCAAAAAATAAAATAATTGTTTGAATTCCAAAAAGAATTGATTGTCCATATCTACTTCTTTTATCAAAAACCCTTTCGTTTACATAATCCTGGTGGGTAAAAGATTGGAATGTTAGCCAGCAACTTAAAATTGCCTTTTCGGCACAGACGGAAAGGGAAAGAGAATTTAACACAAATTTGATAATTATTGAATTTCTGAAAAGGAAAAACAAAATTTTGAAGAAAATTTGGAAGAAGAAAACCTTTGTCTATAATTTGTATTTAACAATCCTGTACAAAACAAAAGAACGGCAATCCATAGAAGATCACCTCCAATATAGTCCCCGGTCCAGGATAACTCTGCTAGGCCTATTCCTAGTAAACACAAAAGCGATAATGTCCATAAAGAGTAGAGAAAGGCAAGAATTCTGATTTTTAAAATTAGATTTAAAGTTTATTCTGGTAATGTTTTGTTTTTTTTTTGTCGCAGGATCCTTTCCAGGGTTAAACCTTTACCGATGTTTAATGCGCTTCAACGACTGAATCGAACCATATCAAGGTCTCAGATTCGATAATTTTGAACGAAGTTATAGCTCCGCGGTACCTCGACCTAGCTGTATCATGGCCTGTTCCTTTTTTGTAAAAAAGAAGAGAGATCCAACTAGCTAATATTTTTTCAGGCGGGTGTTTAGATCTATTAAAAGGGACTGAATCAATTGGCTGATAAGTTATTGAGATAACTTATCTGAGATAACTGGCATCTGAGATAACTGGCACTGGCCTTTCCAGGATTAAACCTTTACCGATGTTTTTTGAAATATTCTTTTGTATTTTATTTATCATTATTTATTTTCCAGTTAATTCATTACTTTTATTCACCTAGTTTTTCTTGTAATATCCAAATCAAAATCATTTCCACCTTTCTTTGTCACAGACTCGCGCAAGCAAGAAGAAGCTAATATACAAGTACAAGCACAAAGTAAAGACAATATAGACATTAAAATAATTAATATTCCATGGACAATAACTATTGTATATTGAGGGGAAGTTATTGAAGAGAATGAAGATTCTTTAAAAGAACTTTTTTAAAGGAAAATAATTTTTAGAGAACTAACGAGAAGCACTAAAAGCTATTCTATATGAATTTATATCTTCTTTGTAAAAAGGAAAGGAATTATTGTCTACTGATTTGAGGCTCCATATTGCAACTATTAGTGAAAGTCCAATGCTAACCTTTTAAAAATAAAATGAAAAAATTATTTTTTAAATTAAACACTCTTTTTAAGGGACTCCCCCAGATAATAGTTGTTATTTTAATTGAGACTGCCTTTTTAAAACCTTCCCCCCAAGAAAATGTCCTTCTAATTAGAACATTTCGAATACAAAAAAAAGTAAAACGTCCCAAATCACTCAAAAAACATTTAAAAATTGGGTGGACCTTATCCTGTGAGCTATCTAATGCCTGGTTATTACCCGATAAATCATCCCATTAAAGATTAATCGTTTTCATTTTCTCAAGAAGCAGGTAGGAAACATTGCTAGCCTAACACAAAAACCTCTTAATAATCCCCCCAAACCTTTAAATTTAAAGTTTTGTGTGTTTTATTGTAAATAGCATATAAATCCACAAAAGCACTTCCAATACCAAATAAAGAACTTAATTGGTCCAAAACTAGACGAAAATAGTCTTGACGTAAAGCTATTTGTGTGTGTTCAAATTCCACAAAAGCAGACATTCCTAAACAAGCAATTGCTGTTAACTTAGAAAAATTTCTTTTAGATCCAAGTTATTTCTAATTTCTACCAATTTCCCAAAAGAAGCCCCAAAAAGCAAAGTTTGATTAAATTTAGCTTTAATTCTGTCATCTGGCCATGCCGGGTACCAAATATTTTCTATAGCCACTAAATTATCCAAAAGTGCCAATGAAAAAAGTGCCAACAAAAATACAAGAAAGGAAAGTATGGACATTGAAATTGAAATTAAAATTTTTGGAACAAAATTTGTATTTGTAGATGTTGTAAATTGGATAATTGAAGTAAATTGTTCAAATCTTCCATTTAATTGTTTACTTAGGTGAATTAACTTTAATAATGTAAGGGTTGGTTATTTATTAAAGCGTAATTCTGATTTTTAAATTCAGAATTTTGGTTTTTTAATTCTGATTTTTAATTTTGTTTTATATTATGATTCTGAAATTCTGTTCTCTAAATTCTTGTTTTATTCGAATTATTTAGTACTTTTCCGTTATACGACCGCAAACTGAGTGTCAACTAATTTTGATCGGATTTAACTTAGGTATTATTTAATGATTGATCCTATACCAATTATTTTTATATCATTTGAAAGCCCTCGATAACCTGTATATTTTTTCTAATTGGATAGAACAAATCTGATCAGTCCCCTATAAGTCCAGTTATTTGATGTTTTTCACATTTATCGAGTTCTAACTTTTTAATGAGTGATCAGACCTGATCTATCAAATTGAAAAAAAGATACCTCTTATCGAGGGCTTTCGAATGATATAAAGTTTATTTGTAGATCAGGCATCAAAAAATTATAGCCGGTCAAAGTCGGCTGACTCTCAGTTTGCGGTCGTATAACGGAAAAGTACCAATTATTTTCCCTCCTAACCTTATAAGTTGTAAATCCATAGAATATAGCTGTACCCAAAGCAAACAAAGCAGTTAAACAATATAAACATTTAATTACAATACTTCCATGTGAACGATTAACACAATAAAACCCAACTTTAAATTAAAATTTAAAAATTAATTATTTTTCCTCTAAATATTTACTAGTTCCAGTAATTGTGTAAAGTAAAGCACTAGCCATTCGTAAATCAATTTGCCTATAATTATCAATTCCAATTTTTGTCTGAAATTGGGTGCCAGCAAGGCCAAGTCCAACAGCTCCAAGTATCGCATGGAGAATATTTAAAGCTTGGAGCTGGAATTAAAAAAAAAAGATTTAGTTAAAAGTTTTTGAAAATGTTTGAAATTATCTTTGATTGTTATTTTATTTTCTTTTTGAATTTTCTAAAGGGATTCTTTCGGCAATGGAAGCATGTAGGAATAAAAAGTGAACAAAAGAATTTTTTATAACGGAGAATTGATATTGTAAGGAAGCTGGCTAGTATTTAAAAGCTCACTAGGCGGGGGTTTAAGGTCTATTAAAAGAGAAAGTGAAAGCAGCGTCCCGGTAGCTCAGTTGGTACAGCACGCGCCTAGCAATAACTGCCAGGAGGTCCCGGGATTAAACTTTTAGCTCGCTCTTATTACATATATTTTATTGTTAGAGTAAATAGAGGGAAAAAAGCGATTCTAGCTTCAACTTTCAGTGGAAGAGTAACTTTTAAATTCTTTTGTTTGATCAATTTTTCCTTAATTTTCTTTAAAAATTAAAAAAAACTTTGCAATTAATGCTTTCTCCTCTATAATAATCTTTTTCATTTTGTTCATCTTCATACAATTCATCTATTAAATTATTTTTAAAATGTGCTCTCCTTCTTTCTGTTGTTGAATTAGTTGAGGAAGGATTAAACATTTTTGTAATTTAATTGCGCATTGAGAGAAGGAAAGGGAAGAAAAAATTAATTTTTATTTATTTATTCTTTCCATCTTTTTTTAATCAAAAGAAATTTATTTAAAAATATTTTTTGTTCAAAAGCCTGTATTAAAATTGAATAATACACGTCAATTATGTTTTTATTCTTTTTTGATTTTTTGAGGGGGAAGGGAGAGGGGGGGGAGGGAAGAATAAAAAGAAGAAGATTTTTAAATAATAATTTTTTCAGTTAAAAATGTTAGTCATTGAAAAATATTATTTATACTTTGAATGAAATTATTTTGAATTTTTTAAAGATGGTGATTAATTGGGTTGGGGGCCCGACACGGCCCGGTCCGAAAGATCGAGTCGGGCATTGAATTTTGGCCCGAAAAAGACTCGGTCGGACCGGCCCGATAAAAATGACTCGAACTTCGGCCCGATCGAAAACCCCAACCCTAGTGATTAGACAATATATCTTTTGAAAATTTAAAGAATAATAATGCTCTTCAGAGTTAACTTAACTAAAAAACATATTATGAACTGCCTGAATTTTTTTGTCGGAAAATTGCCAAAACTCTATTTTTGTTAGGATTTATTTAGATCAAAAAAATAAAATTTAAATAAGATTTTCTGTTTTTCGACTTGTTGATCCTAAAAGAGAGAAAGAAAATATCAAAAACTTAAAATAAATAATTGTAAGTAATTTCTTATTGCTCAAAGTTTGGTGAATGAGCAAAAAGAAAAAAAAAACAGGTTTTTTAAGCAGAAAAAATATTGAGGATTGGGACAACAACAAATACATAAATAAATATAAAAGCTTTAATAATAATAATAATTGCTTATAATAATAATTATTAAATATTATTTTAAATAAAAAGGAAAGGAAATTTTAGAATATTTCTAAATTTACTAATTAAAGGTCGATTACACTTTTACATAGAATTTTTTATAATTGATTTACCACTGGATGGGGAAGATACTTAGCAATAGCTCCCAGATATCTAGCAAGCAATAGCTCCAATTCTAGTTCGTCCCTCAATTTTGAGTCCATTTTTTATTTCCAAGAGTGTATGTACAATAGAGATCGGTCTGGATCTGGATCCAGTCTGGATTTTTCTTGGATCCAGCTCAAAAATCCTTTCCAGGTTACTAACCAAATATCTCAATTGATCCAGATCCAGACTTTTTGAGAATACTGATTTTTAATTTACAATTGAAATATTTGAAATTATGTATTTATTTTTTTCCTATATCTGATCCCAGCTTAAAATTTTCTTAAATTTTTGAGAAGAAAGTTTTTTCTTCATAATAAATTCATGTCAGACGTTTCAAATGAGTAAATAATTAATTTCTTAAATTTAAAGTTTTTTTTTGTGTTTTGTAATAAGTTTATATACCAATTTATTTTAATATTATATTTTTATTTTTTATGTAAAAGTCTCTATTAGAAAAATTAAGAGAGAGAAGCATTAACAAACAAAAAAAGTTTTGAGAGAATTCTCAAGTAAAAGCAAGTAACTATAGAAAAAACAATAAAAAGTTAAGTTATATATTTTGCTAAATACAAATAGATTTTACAAAAAAATTTTTTTAATTTTAATTTTGAAGAATAATAAGCAAAAAATGAAAAAAGGGTTAAATATCTACGGATAATTTTATTGGGATTTATTTTTTTAAAACTGTAATTTTTGAAACAATAAGTGTATGCAATAAATACTTCCTAATTATAGTTTAAAATCTTTTGTCGTTTGTTTTAGTAGTATATTTCAAGAGTTGGATGTAAGTCGAATCTCGAAAAGTACATTCGATCTCGATAAAACTAATCTCCTTCAAGTAAATCCCAACAAATAAAAACTATTTTTTATTTATTCGAGTAAAATACAATTTAGATCCGACTGTTTTAAACTAACAAAACTATCGGAATAATAAGTAAAATTTGCAGATTACATTACTGAAGGATTAAAAAACTTCAAATTTCCCCAACCTTTGGCGGCGGGGACAGGGATGTGAAAATATTTATATAAAAATAGAATATATTTAATTCAAAAATAAAAACAAAAATTCATTTTTAAACATTAAAAAAATTTTCGATTCTGAAATAAAGTTTTATGGCAAAGGTTTTTAATAAAGAAGAAAAAAAAGTTAAAAAGAGAAATTAGAGTTGCGCACAAAAGTGAATTAAAAATAAATAAAATATTTTTATAGGATTATATTTCACTAAAATTTGATTTAAAACAAGTTGAGAATTTAAATGTACTGGTAAAAATATTTGGTGAAATTAAGTAAAAAATAATGGAAAATTTTTTGTTATACATATTTTTTATTTTAAATTTAAAATTAAAAATTATTTTTAGACAAGGAAAGGTTGACAATATGACTTGTGTTAATGAACGATAATTTATATAATTCCAATGTCTACTTTTAATTTATAATTGACATTTAATTATCTAATTTTATTATATTCTTTTGATAGTAAGTAAATCTTTATGAAATTTCTGCTTGCTTTAAACCCTGCTTTGAATGAAATGCAGATCTTTAGTCAAATTTTGGGCTGAAAAATGTGAGGAAAGAATTAGGGTTGCCAGTTTTGAGTCGGGCTTGTACGAGTCACTTTCGGCCTAAATTTATCGAGTCGGGTCGGTATGAGTCTTTTTCGGGCCATTTAGGCCCAACTGATTTTTCGGTCCGAGTCGGTCCATTTTGGCAACCCTAGAAAGAATAAACGGATTACCCTTTAAAGAAAATAAATTTCCGATTTTTTAGGCTGGAAGATTTTACATTTATCAGTTAAATCAAATTCCATGTTTTCGCCTAAAATTGGCATTTTGTTTTTAATTATTTAATTGGCGAAATGTCTTTTTGGGAAAATTTTTTGTTGATCTTTTGGGTATTCATCTAAAATTTTTTAATTAAATTTTACAGGCCCAAATGAATTTAAATAATTTTTCTAATTTGTGGATTTTTCTTTTAATATTTATCAATATTTTAACAGGTTATTTTTGAATTTATTTGAAAGATTTTCATAAAAAAATTTTTTTAGGGTCGTTAACTTTTGCCGATCTTTTATGTCGTTATTGTGGGCATTCGGTTATTTTTTAAAGTTTTTTTTTAAAACAAAAATATTTATTTAGGTAACAACAGCTTCTGCACTAATTAATGTTAAAAGCCCAGCAGCTTATGATAATTGGAATTTGACTGTTTTGGGTGTTGAAACAATTGTTCAAGTAAGGGAGGTTTTTTAAACTGTTCTTGGTTTTGTGGTTGTTTATTGATTTTTTGGCTTTTTAAGTATTTTTTGTAAGTCCTAGCAAGGCCTTGTTTTTAAGGGCTAATTTTACCCTTAAAAATATGGGTGTTCCCCTTCCCTCGGAAGTAGGGGAATTTGAGATATTTCTTGAAAATTCCCTCCTCCACCTGTGTCCCTGCCTCCTCGAAAAACTTTCCCGTTGGTTCTCCCCCCCCCTTGTCGGGGAACAACCCTTCCCAAAAATTTTCAACATTAATTTCCTTTTATTTTGCTAATGAAATTTTTTAAAAATTTTAGACGTTCAAAAACAGCGTCCGTGAGTTTTATTTATTCGATTTTTAAATTTTTTCTTTGATATTTAGCTGAAACTTACAATTTAATTTTTGCAAATGGAGCAGATTTAAAATTCTCTGGAAAGGCACAAACTGCAGAAACTTGGTTTTCTAAAATAAATTTTTGATTAATTTTATTTAAAAATTTTTTTAAGGTTTGAAGGAATGTCTTGGAGACCTTGTGTCTGTTCTGCTTGTAATACACATATTGGATGGTATTTTCAGTCTCCAGAAAAGGATTTTGTTGGTCTTGTAATTGACAATTTAATTAGTGAAGATTGTTTGTTTTTTTATTTAAATTTTTTGTTGTCTTTTGATGGGGAATTTTGTGGTTTTTTAAATCCAGCTTCCATTTGCTCATTCACATTGTATACGTCCCAACCTATTCTTGGCAATTAGCCAGGAAATTATAGAAAATTTGATTGATTTACTTTCATAATTCTTACTTTGAGAAATTAAATGTGCCCGAATAAATTAGAGATCGAGCGGGTCTGGACCAAGGCCTAGGGTTTTCCTGCACCCAGAGTTCAGACCCAGGCATTTTTTGACTTTACTGAGTTTTTCCTGGTCCTGGGCTTTTCTTGGATTTCAGGCCCAGGATCCGGACCAGGCCAATAAATCAAACCCGGAACCCAGGAACAGGCCCAGGCTTTCAAAAATCACAATCTCTAGAGTAAATCCTACAAAATAAACTCGTTAAAATTAACACCTAGGGGTTTGCACTTTTTAATTTTATTCGGAGAGGGTCTTTTTTACTTTTATTATTATCAAATCTTTTTTTTTTATTATCAAATCTTTTTTTTTAAATTTAGATGTGGATACTCTCACAAAAGTCCCACTTCCTCAAAAACAAATTTCAAAAGATGCAGAAAGTAAAGAAATGGTAAAAGATGAACTTTAATTTGTTTTGGAATTTTTGTTAATATTTTTGCATTTATTTGCCTACTTCAATTTTTCTTTAACGGTGAAGCCCTTCTACTCAAAAATTGATATTTAACTTATTTAAATACTCTTAACTTTTAATATTTTTTGTTGTATTTTTTAATAAAAATTTGGTTTTAAAGGGTGTTTTCTAAATTAATTGTTTTCTTTACAATTTTATCTTAAACTTTTAGATTTATAACTTTTTTAAACATTTTTTAAGTCAATTCAATTTTAAATTAATTAAAATGCCTGGTGTTATCTACATTCAATCAGTACCTCCAATGTTTACAGTCAAACACCTGAGAGAAATTATGTCCAGATTTGGAGAACTGGGAAGAGTTTACTTACAAGGTTTTTTTTAATATTTTATAATTAATAAAAATGGGGCCTGTTAAGAGATAAGTTTTATACAGGGTGTGGTAAATTAAGAGCAATTTTGATACATATTTAGTTAATTTAAAATTTGTAAAAATTTTTACAAAATTTAATGTTGACAGATTAAGAATTTCTTTGTTTTTTTATTTCTTAACATCCTTTCTCTCTTTAATGATTTCAAATTGAATTTCCTTCAATTTTTTACATTTTTGTAATCTCTCAAAGATTATAGCCCCTATAATTCAAAATCTGATTTTTTCTAACTTAAGCTGAAAAGCGCGGACCACATAAACGTAAACGCTACACTGAAGGATGGGTGGAATTTAAAAGCAAAAAATGTGCAAAGGTTTTTTTATTAAATTTTTAAAATTGTTTTTGTTCAAAAAATTAATTTTTAAAGGAAGTTGCCCAAATGCTAAATGGAAATCAAGTTGGAGGAAGAAAACGAAGCGCTGCTTACGACAGTGTTTGGACTATGAAATACTTGCACAGGTAAGGAATAATTTTTTGTTTCAAAAAAATCTCTTAAAAAATAAAAAAAATTATTAAGTTTCAAATGGGACCATTTAATGGAACAATTATCTTATGAAAAACGTGTGGAACAACAACGTTTGAGAACAGAAATATCTTTTGAAAAACGTAAAGCAGAACATTTTTCTCAGCAAGTAATTTTTTAGGCATTTTAATTTTAAGGGGAAATGATTGGGGGACGTTTATGAGTTTTTTGGTTCAAAAAACTGATAATAGGTACCTAAATAGGCTAGAAAAAAGGCTTAAATAGGTTGAGAAAATTGTGAAAAGTGGCAAAACAGGTACGAATGTTTTAACAAATAGGTTTGAATTTTTAAAATTTTTCAATTTTGTGTTTTCGATTTATGGTTTTTCCATTTTCATGAGCCGGTAACACGGCCCCATCAGCCTAAAAAAATTCGCTTTGCATATTACTTTTGTTTACTATTTAATTTATTCTAATAAATTTTTAAATCTTCTATAAAAACCAATTAAAAATATTTTTTATTTAGGTAGAAAAGGGTGAAAGACTTAAAAAATTGGAAGAACGCGTTTTAAAGAAATCGGGACTTTGGAAGCGTTATTTAATGCAACATCATCAGAAAAAAGTTATTAATGAAAATAAATTGGAGAAATCGAAGCAATTGAGCGGGGAAAAGGACTTTTTACAAATGATTTTTGGTGGAAAAGAAGAACAAAAGGAAGAGAATGAAAAGGAAGTTGAGAGTGAAGAGAAGGAAGAAGAAATTGGGGAAGAGGAAAAGGAGGTAATTGAGGAAGATGAAAAACAAATAAAATAATTAGAAGAAGGAAAAAGAAAAATATTTTGGTTAAAAAGAATCGAAAAATTAAAAAACGTTTGTGATATAAAAATAATATTTTTTGAGATAATGTTTTTCAAAAAAAAATTTAAAAAAATCTTTTTCGCATATACCTTTTTTTTAAGTTTTGAATGTAAATGTAATAATTTAAAGTTTTTCTAACTAATTTTTAAAAAAATATATCAAAAGAAAACTGTAAAACTATGGTAGATATTATTTAAAAATTATTGAAAAGTTTATAAGGAAAATCCTTAAACTAAAAAATTCTTAAGAATTTCTATGGACAGTATCGGAGTATATTTTTATTTTTTTACGACATTCAGGATTAGCTAGGGATTTAAAATGTTGTAAAGCATATACCGATTTAGTCCCTAAGGCTGTGCAGTAGGCGGCGTGGTCAGTCCGGTCTATTGAAGATACTGGGCTGAATACACTAGTTAAAGGAGAGAAATACCTAAAGCCCAGCTGATTTACTTTAATCAAAAATTACATTAAAGATAACAGCTAATTACTTGATAATTTTGTGTTTATTTATATTTAAATATTTTTAAAAATTATTTAAACCCTTTTATAAGCTCCACAATCCAACAAAGAAATATTCATTTTAAGCAAAAAAAAGTTATTGAGGGCATGAACAGCTGTTATATGTATTTATAATATTTTCTTCCAGCATCACCTTTTACTCGATCTTCTTTTCTTGATGACGTTAATAACTAAAAAAGAGGGAAAATCTTCTCTTATTTTTTTAAAAAGATTTTATTTTTCCATCTTCTCCATCTGTCTACTAAAATATATTATTTAAGTTTTTTTACAATTTCTGATTTTTTTTGTTGGAAATATATATTTAATATACTAATCTATCTTTGTTATTGCCAAAAATATAAATAATTAAATACACTGGGGTAGATAAGTTTATCTACAATAGAAAATTTCTTTTAAATTCTTAATTTTTCATTCAAAAAATACGTTTTATATACCAATCGAAAGCTCTATCTGTATTTCAGTTTATATGATTCTGCATTTTCATAAAAATGAAAATTGGCTGAGATAATCCGGATATACCAAATCCCATTTTTTCGGAAAAATTTTCGGTCCGAAAATTTCGTGGAAATTTCGTGGAAATTACAGAAAATTACTGATTTTCTTTTAATCCTCTTTCCTTCTCTAATTAAACTCAATTCCTTTTTTTATAATTTTAAGACCATTGTTTAACTTTGGATTAATTTTTTATCAAAAATAATCTAATTTTTTTCCTTATCAAAAAAATACTTTTAATATTTATAAATTTTTTATTTGCTCACTTTTTCTTTTTATTTTATTTATTAAAAATTGATTTTTAATTTAATTTTTAATTTAATTTTTTTAAAAAATATTGACGTAAATTAAGAGAAATTATTTTATTTATTATCTAATTGTTTTATCTATTTGATACATATCATCTGATTAAAAAAAGGAAGGAAATATATAAAAAATTAATCACATTATGTTTTTAATATTTCCCCCTTTTTTCACTTTTTTTTATAAAAATATTTTTTTTACATGGAAGAAAATTAATTAGAAATTTTAAAATCTTATTGACATTGAAACAAATTAATGCAAACTCAATGAACATTTTTTAAAATTATCGAAAAATTATTAAAAAATAATTTAATTTTAGGAAATTTTTAGTGAACCATGTACTTATATTCTTGGTAAACACCGAAATTTTGACCGGAACCGTAACCAAAAAATGCCGGAACTTCCGATGAAACTCTAGTAAACATGCCATGAAACCAAACGGTTCCCTTCCAAAAATAGGCTGAAACAGATTCTCGAACATAACCTCTCAATTAACTTCGATATATCCGTTAATATTTTTTGGAAATTTTGGTTTTATTTTTTTATTACAAAATACCGAAAAGTCAACTAATGTATAATGAATTTTTCAGTTACTTATTCTTTAATTTTTTTAAAGTTTTGTTGCAATTTATTATTTTTTATTTTTCAAAAAATTTAAAAAAATGATGGATTATTCAATAGAGGACAGAAAAAGAATAAAAAGTTTAAAAACAAATAATGGATTTTGTTTGTCCTTGCGACATCTTCTTTATTTCCCTTTTGTTTTTCTTTCACAGGTGTTTTTTAAATTGATATTATACAGTAATAACCAAAGAGTAAAAATTTTAAAAAATTAAAAATGTTTTTATGTAAACCCTAATATTTGATAATAAAAATAAATTTCGAACAATATCAAAAAATTGTACCCAAAAGGTTCGGGTTTTATAAGGGAAACTGTCTTTGACAATTTTTGTTTTAAATTTTACTAACCAAACGGATTATCTAAGGATAATAAATAATATTAAAATAATGACTCTAAAGGAGTTGGAAGAAACATCTTAGAGTTAGTGATCGAAATTTCGAATTAACGATACGGATATCTACCTATAAATACCGAAAAATACGGCCGTAGTTACTACCCAGAATGGGGAATAATTTAAATAATTACCTAATTTAATTATTTCCTAAATCCAATTTAAAGTAAAAAAATAATGGTTTATAATTTTTATGAGAAAAATTCAAAAAATTCTTTTAGTATATGGTGTCAGCAGCTGTTTATGTAAATTTATCTGATGGTTCCCCAATATTCGGGTCATTTGTACAAGCAGCTACAGGAAAATATATTTCTCAATTTTTGGGTGTTCCTTTTGCTGAACCACCTATTGGTTGATTTTTAAATAAATTTATTTTCTAAAAAAGTAAAAGTTCAACTTTTCTAAAATAGGAAAACTTCGATTTCGACGGCCTATTCCAAAACGTCCTTGGCGGGAACAATGGAATGCTACTAGTAAATGAATATTTTTTAATTAATTTTTAACTTCGAAATGATAAAAATTAGGGAGGAAATATACACTAAATTCTGGTAGGGTCGGTGACTTTCTTAGTCTTTTCACCTAGGTTAGGCCGAGACTATCGAGCGAGTTTATTATAAAAAACTCGATTGTTCGCTCTCTAATTTTAATCACGTGGAATGTTTCAAGTCATTGAGGACGGATCCAAATATTTCTATAAATTTCTCTTAGATTCCTCCACTCTGGGATGGCTACGGCAGTGGGGTTTTAGTTAAATATAATATCTCTTTTCTATAAATTTCGAAAATTTGGCGTTGATGGGCTTTCATTTGATCGGAAATTAATTTAAAAATTATTAATTTTTCCAAGCTTTCCGTGACTCTTGTGTTCAATCTCCAGATACCTATTTTGGCGATTTCTATGGGGCTACAATGTGGAATTCTAATACTCCTTGTTCTGGTTAATATAGAAAAAGAAACTTTTATGAATTTTTAAATTTAATTTTAGAGGATTGCCTTTATTTAAATATTTATGTTCCCGGTGAAATTGATCGAGAAAAACGTTTGCCTGTTCTTTTTTGGATTTATGGAGGTGGATTTTGGAGTGGGACGGCTTCTCTTGATGTTTATGATGGGAAAATATTTGCGGGGTTAGACTGGAAAATTTTAATTTTTATCAGGATTTTTTTATCTTATCACTTATTTTTAAAGCTGGGGTTTACGAGTCGGCCCGACCGAATCTTTTTAGGGCCAAAACCGGGCGGATCGGACCCCCAACCCTACTTATTTTAATTGAGATAAATGAGAGATTTGGACAGTAGGAATTGGGATATGTTAAGTTTAATTTAAGTATAGGAATCTCTATATTATCACACCTTTTTGGGGAGGAAAGATGAATTATTATTTTAAATTTTGATTATTTATTAGAGAAGAAAATGTAATTATTGTAACTGTAAATTATCGTGTTACTGTATTTGGCTTTCTCTATTTGGGGAGAGAAGAAGCTCCAGGAAATATGGGTTTATGGGATCAACTACTTGCTTTAAAATGGGTATATAAAAATATACAAGGTTTTTAGAAATAAATATAGTTAAACCTCTATTTAACGTAAAACCTCTATATTACAGACTTTTTATTTAGTAAAAAACGGAAAGTAAAAATATTTGAGTGAAGGGCAAAGAGGTAAAAAAGGGCTGCAAAAACGGAGTCCAACAAAGATGAAAAAGGGCGTAAAAATCGGGGAAAAATACAGTATTTGTTAAAATAATTCCCCAGAGTTTTTATGTATTGTTTCAACTTCTCGCTGGAGGTGGTAAATAAAAGGGAGGGGGTAAATATTTGAGCTTTTTAAAAAGGCTAATTATAACTTTTTGGGAGGGGTAATTATTTTTTCGATCTCTGGATGTAAAGGGTAATTAATAGGATGGGGGTAATTATTTGAGAGAGAGACATTATTTCAGCATTTACGGTACGGGGATTTTTAAAATTAGAGGTTTAACTTAAATGTCGATGAAATAAAAATTAAATTATTCCTATAAAATATCTATGTATATTATAGTATTTGGAGGTGATCCTTCCTTAATTACTTTATTTGGTGAAAGTGCTGGAGGAGCTTCTGTTTCTATGTTTTTTATTTCTTTATTTTTAATTTAAAAATTAATTTAAAGGCATATGTTATCCCCCCTTTCTCAGCCTTATTTTACTCGGTCAATTTTACAAAGTGGAGCAGCTACTGCCCCATGGGCAGTAGAAAATAAGCAGGTGGCGAGCATTTAAACAAACTTAATTTAGAAAAAAAATTTTTACTAAAAATAAATTAAAGTTATTAAGGTAGCATTGCACAGAGCTGTTATTTTATATGGTTAGAAAATTTTTAAAAATTTTCAAGAAATTTTAAAAAATCCTCTAAATTTTAAAATTTTATATCATTTAATAATTTATTAAAAAATTAATTTTATATTTAATTATTTTTAAAGAGTATATGAAATGCGGAAATGGAAATATGTCTCATTTAGCCCCAGACCAATGGAATATGGATGAGGTTTTGAGATGTTTACATGAGGCATCTGCTGATAAACTTAGGTGGTGTTTTTAAATAACTTACTGTAAATGTTCTGATAAAAACATATCTCTAATATAAGCACACCCTACGACAGGATCGAAAAATAAAGGCACAGTCTCTAATTGAAGGAACACCTATTATACACCCTTATAAGCACACCCCTATATATTTTGTTGGTATTTTTGATCTATTTTTAAATTTGTCAGCAACATTACTTTTAAAATTTTAAAATAATTAAAAAATAATTTTAAAAAATTTATTTTAACTTAAAGAGACTCGGAATGGAGTCCAGTAATGGAATTTGCAGACTTTCCTTGGGTGCCTGTTATTGATGGAGAATTTCTTGTAGAAAATATAGAAACTTCCTTAAAACGAGGAAATTTTAAGAAAACACAATTATTGGCTGGAAGTAATTTTGACGAGGCTAGAAAATTAAAAGAAAATTTTAGAAAAAAATTTTTTTAAGGCTATTTATTTCATTGTCTATCAATTAGCGGTAAAGTTTAATTAAATTTAACAAACTTTGGGGATGTTACGGCGCAAGATTTTTTAGGCGCAGTTTTTGAAAATGGCACATTTTGGGAACTTAGAACCTTGAAATTTTGGGAATATTTTTTAAATAGTATTGGCAATAGTCTACATAAAAATAAAATTTTTAAATAAAATATTTTGGAAATTATGGCCAAAAGTCGATATTCCGAAAATTTTTAATATTTTTAACAGTACCGTATTTCTTACCGTACTACCCGGAATACCGATAAATACCAAAAAATGGCGTCGGAGGCCGTCCGGGCTCTTTCACTAGTCCAAAATTACTTTTTAAACTCTTTGAAGGGGTTAGATTTGATCATTTAAATATTCTCTTTAAAATTAACCCTTATTCATAATATCCATAATTTTTAATTTAAACACCTAGTAATATATTTTTATTTTCCCAATACAGGATGTATTCCCTCCTGCAGAATTTTTTGAGAAAAAGTTTGAAAAATTAAAAATAATTTAAAATTTTCTATTTTTAAGAGACTTTATAAAAAGTAGGGATGTGTGGATTAAAAGTGTTTCTAGTTTACTTCCAAGACAAGTAATTAAATTAAATAAATTTGAATATTAATTAAAAAAAAGATATTAAAATCATCCCTTGCATTACAATCAATTTTAAATTATTATGAACCTGAAGGTTTACCTATAGAATCGAAACATTGGGTAGATAGGTAGATTAAAAGTAAATTTTTGGAATTTATTTAAATTTTCAGTCTTGATAAAATGCTCGGAGATTTTTTGTTTACTTGTAATGTTAAGTGAGTGTATTTTTTTGGAAGAAATTAGTTTCTTTTAAAATTAAATATTATAACGAATTTTAAATTAATTTATATATTTTTTAATTAATGAATAGTATTTCTAATTTTTATTTTTAAATTAATTACAAAAAAAATTTTTAACGATTAGCAAAATTTTCTAAAAAGTTTAATTAATTATGATTTTTTCTTAAATTAAAAATAAATTGTTAATTTCATAAATTAATTAAATAGTAAAAATAGACTTATTTTTTTTAATTAAAAAACAATATTCTTTAAGTGAATTTGCTTTGGCACATAGTGAACACGGAGCAGATACTTATTATTACATGTACCTAATTTATTTAATTTTGTAAATTAAAAAAAATTAATTTTAAAGGTTTTCACATCGCGCATCTCAACAAACTTGGCCTGAATGGATGGGTAAAATTATAGCAAAAAAATTTTTATTGAATGAAAACATTTTAGGTGTTCTTCACGGTTATGAAATTAATTTTATTTTTGGCGAACCTTATAATCGAAAACAATTTAAATATACAAAAGAAGAACAGGAATTGAGTATGTGGAATTTGAATATAATTTAAATTAGAGTTGGAGGATCTGAGTATTCGATCAGGAAATGTCCGGATATCGGGAAATTTCGAGTCGGATATCGAATCCGGATATCCAAAGATTTCCCAGAATCCGTCAACCCAACTCTAACCTATTATAATTTTCCTTAATACAAACTACCTATTCTATTTTGATTTTTAAAGGTTCTCGTTTTATGCGTTTTTGGGCAAATTTTGCACGTACAGGCGACCCAAACCGCAATCCAGACAATTCTTATATTTCTGATTGGCCTCCATATAATTCAAAAACTATGGAATATATAAATTTAACAATAGAATCAGATTATATACAGAAAGGTGCTAAACGAATAGGCACTGGGCCAAGAAGAAAACAGTGCAATTTTTGGAAATTTATTCCAAAATTAATTTCTATTTCTGGTAAATTTTTTAAAAAATTATTTAATCAAAAGAGATGGGTAATGTAGTTGGAGTAAATCCAGAAGACCTACACCCTAAAGACATCACAGAAGACCCGCATCATTTTGATCAGCAGGTCAAAAGGTCTTTAGGGTGTAGCTCTTCTGGAGTGGACCCCCCCCCCCCCCCCCCATATAGTTTACTACTTATTTTATAATCCCATTTTCCAATAATTATTCGAGTTAATTCTGTGGGGAGGGAAAACAACACAGTAGACTTTTATTTAAAAAAATCAGTTTCCTCCTAATCTTTGCAGAGAGACGAGAAATTTGCAAAATTTAGGAATTTGAAAACAAATTGAATTTAAGAGAAATATTCTTTAATTCGAACAGGGAAATGGGAGCCAAAATAAATTAAAAAATATAAGAATTTTCCTAAATTTAGCTGATTTGGGAGAATCTTTTATTAAATGGAAACAGCAAATGGATAGATGGGAAAATGATTATATGCCAGAATGGGAGGCAAGAAAACTTTATTTTAAAAAATAAAAAAATTAATTTAGAATCATTTTGAACAATATAAGCGTCATCAAATGTACAGAAGAAAAGAGCAAGGTGGAGATAATGATGCTTGTGGAATAAAATAGAATTTGTTATATTTAATTTAAAAACCTGTGATATGTTAAAGTTTTTACCAAATTACGGGTTCCACAAAATTTAAAAGTAATTTTTTGCAATAAAGGTCTCAAAGATTCAATCTCCTAATGTATACTAGAGACCGAAATTGAATTTTCGAGAATGTCTTGACTTTACGTCTTAATTTATGCGATTTTTTGATAGATAAATAAAAGAATATTTTTATATTGTCAACAAAAAATAACATTTAAAGGCCATTTGTAAAAATTGATCTTCCCGTTCGGTATTAATTTTTGCTAATATTTGACTCATAAATATCCTTAATACGCTGTAAAAGCAAAAACGATTAACATAAATGAATATAAATTTATACTTTTTCAAGAGTTGAAGCACCATATAAGCTAATTATTTTGCAGTATTTTTCAATGTTGCTGCTATCTAAATAGAATATTTTTAAACACTAAAGGTTAAATTCTTTCTAACATCGACCTTAATTATTAAATACCTAATTAAATAATAGGTACAATTTATAATTAAACCCATACCTATTTTAGAAGCCATAAAACGCTCACATACATATTTCAACTTTTCCAAATCATACTTATGTGCAAGAGCGAAAATACCTTCAACATGACATTCCATTAAGGCTTAAAATAAAAGAATAAATTTAAAAAAAATTTCAAATAGAAACCAGCATTAATTTCTCCAGTGTAAAAAAATTCCAACATTCCACGAACACATTCAGGAGAAGTATCAGAAATTATGACCTCACCCTAAAATTTATTTGTGAATATTATTCTCGAAAAATAACTACTCATCCCTATTCATTTTTGGATTTAAGTTTATACCTTCTGTGCTTCTGCCATTAAATTTTGATCAAACATTCTTTGGAATACTTCACTATTTTGTGCTAAAACACAGCGATGTGCTTTTATAATTTTATCATCAACCTGTAAAATAAATTTAGGTAAACTTTCATCTAATCCCAACCTTAATAACAAAATCAGTAAATATCTTATCCTCCAACATATCTCGATAGGTCTTTTTTAAATCAACAGTTAAACTGTAACAATCAAATTCCACTTGTAAATGGAGTCGTAAAAGTCCTAAAAATATAATTATTAAGGCTCATTTATTGTTAGCAATTTTTTACCACCAAATTGTACGCTATCCAATGAAATAGTAGAATATCCCATCTTATTCTGATTCTCAAACATCATTGTGGATCTAAAATACAAATAAAAAAATTCTAAAAAATAATCCAAACTTGGCGATATCAATATACTTAAAATGGTGCATATATATTTTTCCTGCATAAATTCTATATTTTGTATTCACAAAAGCATTTATATTATCTGGCCCTATTTGACGAAGCCAGACAGAAATATCACTAGAATCCCGTTTTAACTCAAGATGTAACTCCCAAGCAACACTAGGAAATTCAGGACTGGAAAATCGTTCACCTGAAGAATTTAAAGTGAATAAATAAAATCAAGCAAAATTACTTGTGAGGTGCAGAGAGCTGCTATCAGATAGAACCTTCAGAATATTTTTAAGATCGTAAATACACCAATCAAATTTTAATGCAAGAATTTTCATCTAATAGTGATTAAAAAATATACAAGAAAGAATTCGAAAACACGAAAAATGTGAGCGATAAAAACTAAAGAATCGCAGGGATTACTTTATTTTGTGAACCAAAAGTTCGAGAAACACTTTTTTCTTTTATGGAAAAACTATATATCTTTAGAACTCATCGAGCTGAGTCGAAAGGTACCAAAATCAGCTTGATTCAATGATCTATAACTATGACCAACTGAATCTTCGATGGGAAACTGTTTTTGAGGCAAAAATTCGGCGAAAGAAGAAGGATACATATAGTGTAGTGTACCTGAAATAAAAGTTCGAGACCACTGACTCCGATCGACCTCTGCTGGTTACCCATAAAGGTAGATGAAACAGAATCGTGACCGCTCAGAACATTTATCGGTATTCCGCATCGGTAGTACGGTACGGAATAGGGTACGGAAAAAATTTAGAAAAATACGCATGTCGAGTGGAGCGACGACCGTCTCGAGATTTTAAGATTCCATATCTTAAGAATTCGGTGTTTTGTATAGGAACCAACAAAAGAGATGAAGGTTGGGAGGCAGGAGAGAAAAAAGAGAACGTGTCTGTGCAAAAGACCAGTGCACTAAAAGACCGGAACCGGCAAAAAGGGGTTAAAAGACCGGAACGAGCAAAAACGAGTTAAAAGACCGGGCCACTTTTATTGTTAATTGGCAGAAACTTGTTAAGGCCATGTCCAGCCTACCCTCCGTAGCTTGAGGGATATGAAAAGGGGAGATGAAAAAATGAGAAAAAAGGGGGAAACAAAACCAACTTTTACCGGAAGTTAATCCGGATTCAAAACCTTTCACTTTTTCCGATTTCTGTAAAAATCAGAACAACTCTTTATTTTTTAGTTATTTCTTATTTTATATAACAATGTCCTTTTGTGGTCTCCTTCGCAAAGGAAAATATAGTCAAAATACAACGCCAAATTAAATAAAAATTATTCTTAAATTCTTAATCTTTGTGGAGAAATTAGCAAGATTGACTTATTTTGAAAATATTATAGAAAAAATTTTTAAAAATGAAAAATTATAATAAGATTTATTTATTTAATAAATCAAAAATAAAAGGATTAAAAAATAGGCAAGTTATTTTTTTATTTTATCAACAAAAATTTAAACATGTTACACCTTTCCGTCTCTTATTAATTGTTGGTAAGCTTTTATTCACTCGAAAATAGCCTTTACACGCTGTAAAACAAAAAAACGATTAACTTGAATAGAAATATAAATTTATACTTTTTCAAGTGTTGGAGCACCATATAAGCTAATTATGTTACAGCATTTTAGAATGTTGGTGCTATCTAAAAGAAATTAAAATATATTGAAATAATAACACTCAAATAAGGTCTTTATTGAAAAATCTTAGTCTGGCAAATGTCTAGTTCTACCAGTGGCCTATTCCGTCAAACGACTTTTACTGTCACTGTTGAGTAAAAATGTCAATACAAATTAGCTCCAGCGATGGTTAGACTCAATATCGGGCAGTGAGTGTTCACCCGAATAAAATTGATAAAAGGAGGAAAAATTATGACAGCGCTTTTAAGCTGTGATATAATAGTGGTTATTTTGTATTGGCATTTCTCTGTCGACAGTGAAATGTAAAAGTCGTTTTGTGAAATAGGCCCTAGTCCGCAAATAGAATGCTGACTTTTCTTCACTTTTTTGCATTCTTTCCTCTAGGAGTTGCTACTGTACTAGAGAAATTAAAATGAACAATTGGTTCACCCGAATAAAATTCTTTAAATAGAAATTTAAAGAACAAAATATATTCGTGCGATACTGAACTAGAGAAATTATAATGAAAAATTGGTTCAAATTTACGTAATTAAATCCATACCTAGTTTAGAAGCCATAAAACGCTCGCATATGTATTTCAATTTCTCCACTTGATATTTATGTGCAATAGCAAAAATACCTTCAACATGACTTTCCCATAAGGCTTAAAATTTTAAAAATAAATTTAAAAATATATGAACATATTTTGAGTTAACTTTTAATTTCTCCAGTATAGAAAAATTCCAACATTGCACGAACAGATTCGGGAGAAGCATCAGAAATTATTAACTCACCCTAAAATTTATTTGAATTTTAGCCGCTCGACAAGCTGATAAAATATGTAAAAAATCATTTTGATCGACTTTAACGGCGAGTTATCTAAACTGCATTTACGCCTAGATGCTATCCCTTTTTTTCATTTACCTATTAACTTTTCATTCTCAATAACTTTCGACCATTTTATTTGTTCGATAATTCAAATGATTCATGTTTAATTATTTTATTTCAATCATTTTTTATTTAATGATTTCACGTACATCATCCTTCTAGTTTTTATTCACAAATTGAGAACCTTCCTTTTTCATAACCCGATTCTCATTTTTTACTGTCTCAATCATTCTTCCCCTCACATACATATGGTAAATGGTAAGTTAGAAGGAGCAAAACTAGAAAGGAGGCCATCATGAATGTTATTTTTTAGTTAAGATAAAGGAATTTTAAACTTTATTCAAAGAAAATGAATTATGATCAATATCATTTCCAATGAGCTTTTGCCTTTTCTTTGGAGATCGGAAAACCGAGGGAAAAATACCTTTCTAATTGTGCTACCGTTTACTTTAAATGTGTGATGGAATGAATGATTGACAGCTGAAAATGACAATTAATCTGACTTAAATAGAAGGGTGGCACGACAATTGTACAGTGGACAATTGTACAGTATTCATAACTTTTAAAAAGTAAATTTAATTTAGCGCTAATCGATAAGAAATATGACCCAAAGTATTGAAAGCCATATGATCAACAGAAATTTTTTTTAATTTTATTATACAACAGTGGTAAGTTGTTCAATGATGGGGAAGCTTATTTATCTAATTTTTTTTCAATTAATCTCTAAGGGGAATCTTGATTGATACCTAAGGTGATCGATATCTGTGTCGTTAATCGCTCTCGTTTGATCACTCTTCCGGTTGATCATCGATTCGATATTTCATAACTTTTTCCGATTTTCACTTTCCAGGGTGATCACTTTTTGTTGATCACTCTCTAGTTTGATCACTCACACGATTGATCACCCACTTCGCTTATCAATTCAAGGAATTGAGTTTGTTTCGTCATTGGAATAACCTTCACGTATTGTGAAATAAAATTTTAAAAATTTAGTGTTGATCATATGTTTCGATATTTTGGGTTAACATTAAAATTTTTAAAAAAGCTCTTAATACTGTACAATTGTCTTCTTTCTGTACAATTGTCTCACTGTACAATTGTCCCAACAATTGTCATGGAGCCAATAGAAGTGGGTGGCGAGATATAAACAAAATACAATAAATTGTAAACCTTTTGTGCTTCAACCATTAAATTTTGATCAAACATTCTTTGGAACACTGCACTATTTTGTGCTAAAACACAACGGTGTGTTTTTATAATTTCATCTCCAACCTGTTAAATAAATTAAGATAAATTATATTTAATCCCAAACTTTAATGACAAAATCAGTAAATGTTTCATTCTGCAACATTTTACGAAAAGTATCTTGCAAATTAACAGTTAAATTGTAACAGTCAAATTCGACTTCACAATGAAAAATTAAAGAATCTAGAAGAAAAATATTTTTTAAGGTTTAGCATATCGCTTTTTACCATTTTTAGTTAAACTATCTAATGAAATAGTAGAATAGCCCATCTTATTCTGCTTCTCAAACTTGTATGTGGATCTAAAATACAAATTAGAAACTCTAGAGAGATAAATAATTAAAACTTGGCGATCAATCTACGTGTCGGAAATTGCTCGGCATAAATTTTATATTTAGTATTCACAAGTGTATTTTTATTATCCGGCCCTATTTGGCAAAGCCAAATAGCATCAGTACATCCTAGGGTCAGATGTAACTCCCATCCGAAAGTAGGAAATTCAGAACTGGAAAATCGTTCACCTGATAATTTAAAAAAGATAATCACAAAGAACATGAAAAATTACTTGTCAAATGCAGATAACTGCTGAATGATAAAGCATCTACAATATTTTTAAGATTGTAAATAGGCCAGTCAAATTTAAATGCAAGAGTTTCCATCTAAATAAGTAATTAAAAGGAATTTCGGGAAAGAAGATGACAAAAAAGTTATTTGTTTCGGAAAGCTCTAATGATTCTAATCCAATCTTTTGATATTTTGTATTAAGGGTACAGAACTCGGTGAGCTGAGTCGAATGTCACCAAAATTAGCCCTCGGTCTCAACTAATGGGCCGACATAAAGCCCTTGAAAATCGAAAAACCATAGGGGGTTGGGTTCTGTGTACCGAAAAGGAATTTAAAAAGGAATTTCGGTAAGAAGATCGAAAAACCAAACAGGAATACCAATAGCTTATTATCTTTGAGGTGGACATGCCTGGCTTCCTCAATATCTGCATAAACCTTCACGAACTCAGCTCAGGTTCGACTCAGGCTGATTCAACTCGGCTCAGCGAGCTCTTTCAAATGACATACCTATATCGAAAGAATTGGAGTCTGGGCTCTCAAAGATAAAAATCTCAAAATAGAACCTCAAATCAGGAATACCAATACTATTTATATAAGTAATAGAAGGCGGAAAGTAAAGAGGATTAAATATAAGAAGACTGATCTTTGAGTTATGAAAATTGTTGATAGGAAAATATAAAGAATTAATTCAAATAATGTTTTGGGGAAATGTTCTATAAAAGAAACATTTAAAATATATTTTGAGGGAATAATTTGAATAAATGGGAAGAGACATTTAAATAAGATTACCAAGTAAAATTTTTCTAAAAAATTTTTAAAATTTTATTTTGCTAAAAAGTTAGGAGTTAAGAATAAAAAATTAAATTAGATTTTTAAAAATCATAAAATTAGTTTAAAAGTCATCAAATTATCTAATTTTTTGGAAAATAGTAGTTATCAATTGGGTTATATAAATTATTATTTTTATTCTTTCCAATTTCCAAATATCCAACTTCCAAAAATTCTATAGCGATAATTCATTTTATCATCTTCCCATATTGTATTTTTCAAAAATCAAATTTTAAATTGGTTTTAAAAAACTAATCCAGATCTTCGGAGATTTTCCAGATTCGCCAACCTTACTACTAAAAAAAGATATTTTTTAATAAAATTATATTCTTTTTACTTTCTTTGGAATTTCAGCATTATATAAACGGGTGAGGGGCAGAAATTCGAATGAAAAACTTAGTCCAGACAATTCTTCACCGAAAAAACTCCGAATTACCAAAACCTCGTCCAGACAATACTTCATATGACCATAACTTCGTCAAAAGAGAAAAATATGCATTTTCAATAGTTTGGGGTCTTTTAGACGTAGCCATATAATGGGGAAATATGTATGTTATATTACGGGGAACTTAATCCTTTTAATTTCATCCATACTTAATCACTCCAAATCCATGGTTACTAGAGGCGTGCGAGACCGACAATTTACAAAGACTCAAGACCTAAAATCAACTTCAACACCGCAGAAAACCCTTAATCCATCCGAATCCCGAATATCCCCATTAGTCCTTCACGATTTCTTGTCTAGGATTGACGGTTTCAAACCGAATATTGAAATTTTGAAAAATCTAACGTGCCTTAGGCACGGAAAAGCTTTCAGAACGTTGGAGAAAATTTTGAAAATTTTTTAGGCCATTAGCCAGATCTCTGATTATTTAACGCCTCCATATATTTCAAAAACAATGGAACATACATATAAATTTAATAATAAAATCAGACTATAACAAAAAAGTCAAACGTATAGGAACTGGCCCAAGAAGAAAATATAGCAATTTTGGAAATTTATTCCAAAATTAATTTCTATTTCTGGTAAATTTTTAAAAAAATATTGAATAAACATGATATAGAATAAAAAATTGAGTATCGTATGTAATTTACGATTTATGTGGAATTAAATTAGTAATTTTTCCGGACCAGGGCTGGGCGAAATCTAAAAATAAAAAGCCTAATGCGAAACTTTTCGCGCTGAAAAATGCGAGAATGCGAGATGCGAAACGCGAAAGTGCGAAATAAGCCCAGCCCTGTACCGGACCATAGGGGAACTTGACTAAGGGAAATTGACCATTCCAAGTCCGTCCAAGGAGGTAAGAAAAGAAATATGTACATAGTATAATTCCGCCCTTCCTTTAATATACTAGTCTGATTTTTTAAAGATAAATAAAAAATTAAATATTTTTATGTGTCAACAAAAAAATTTAAAGGCAATTTGTAAAAATTCATTCAAATCTTCCCGTTCCGTATTTTTGTTAAGTATTTGACTCGAGACCAGCCTTTAGACGCTGTAAAAGGAAAAACGATTAACGAAATGAAAATTTAAATGTATAACTTTTTCAAGCGTTGGAGCATTTAATTTGTTAGCCTTTAATTTGTCAAGTAAAGCATAGTATTTTACAGTGTTGTTGCTATCTAGATAAAATATTTTTAAACAATAAGAGTAAGTACCCAATCTATTAGAGATATCCAAGGCTGCAAAGTACAGTAAACCCTAAGACTTGCCTAAATTCAAAATCAGAAATCAACAACACTCAAGACAATTTTTTGGCCCCATTTTTTGTCCTTCTAAATTGAGAATTTGGAATGCAAACAAATCAAAAAGATTCCTCTTTTGAGATTTTTTTTCATTTGAGAAAACCCTTCTTTGAGAAAATTTTAAAAAGCGCGGAAGGCCAGTCTTGAGCATCACTGCTCAAGACCAAGTCTTGGACTTCTCTAACATCTATAATTAAATCCACACCTATTTTAGAAGACCAAAAACGCTCACATACATATTTCAACTTTTCCAAATCATACTTATGTGCAAGAGCGAAAATACCTTCAGCATGACTTTCCATTAAGGCTTAAAATAAAAAAGTAAATTTAGAAAATATTCCAAATAAAAACCAGCATTAATTTCTCCAGTATAAAAAAATTCCAACATTCCACGAACACATTCAGGAGAAGTATCAGAAATTATAACCTCATCCTAAAAAGATTTAAATACATATTAATGTTGACAATATTTATTGGTTTTTTTGGAAACCTAATGAAGTGAATGGGCTCTAAATTTTACTTCACAACATTTTAAAGTATACTAAAATCATAACAATCAGACATTTCTGTCGAGTTATGATCAAAACTAAATAGAACTCGTCTTACTCGTTTTTTATTCATAAATTGTAAACCTTTTGTGCTTCGGCCATCAATTTTTGACTATTTTGTGCTAAAACAATACGGTGTGCTTTTATAATTTTATCATCAACCTGTTAAATAAATTAAGATAAATTTATATTTAATCCCAAACTTTAATAACAAAATCAGTAAATGTTTCATTCTGCAACATTTTACGATAAGTATCTTGCAAATTAACAGTTAAATTATAACAGTCAAATTCGACTTCACAACGAATATATAAACGCCCTAAAAATACAATTCTTAAGGCTTATTGTTAGCAATTTGGTTTTTTTTACCATCTACTTGAACAACACTGTTAAACGAAATATTAGTATAACCAATCTCATCCGGATTCTCAAACTTGTATGTGGATCTAAAGTGAGAATAGAAAAACTTTTAGAGAAATAGTAATTCAAACTTTGTAATATTTATGCATGTAGAATTCTTTAATGCATAAATTTTATATTTCGTATTCACAAAAGCATTTATATTATCTGGCCCTATTTGGCGAAGCCAAACAAAAAGATCACTTGAATCTTGTTTTAACTCAAGATGTAACTCCCATGCAACACTCGGAAATTCAGGACTGGAAAATCGTTCACCTGAAGAATTTAAAGTGAATAAATAAAATCAAGCAAAATTACTTGTGAGGTGCAGAGAGCTACCAGCAGATAGAACCTTCCGAATATTTTTAAGATCGTAAATACGCCAATCAAATTTTAATGCAAGAGTTTCCATCTAAATAAATGATTAAGGCTTATGAAGTCAAGTTTTGTTCGTAAAAGTCAAAGCTTTGTACGTAAAAAAGATAAATGAGAGTGAAATGAGTCAATAAGAAAATATAAAAAATTAATTCAAATAATGTTTTGTGGGGAATTTTTTAAAAGGGAAAGAAAAGTTTAAAAGATATTTTGAGGGAATAATTTGAATAGATGGGAAAAACATTTAACAAACACATATAAATAAATTCTTTTTGTCTGTGAATGTGTTCACCAGTGGTGCAGTGGTAGAATTCTTGCCTTTAAATTTATCATCGAAGTTCGAATCCTGCTCTAATTTAGGATTGTGCTTTATTTGGAAAAATGCGTTAGCTTTGCTTTGGAAATTTAGTTTTTTAAAATTTATTTTCAATTTTAGTTTATGAAAATTTTTAAAATTCAATAAGGTCAAATTTTCCATCAAACAAAAAAGCCTTTCAAATGAAATAGGGTAAAACAGACCCCATTTTTTCTCCCCTATTTTTTCATTAATATTTAGAGAATGTTTAGACTTTCTTCCTAAAATAACCAAATTTTTTAAAGTTATAATTCTATATTTGTGTTAAAATTCAGACAGAGCAAAATTTTCTATTGGAGTTAAGGAGGATCGAATTACATTGACTCAAAATCACTCAACCAAATAAAGGTGTCGTAAACTGCACTTTGTCTAAAAAATTGAATTATTTCTATAAGAGATTTAAATTTTTAAGGAAAAAAATAAATTAAAAAACAAAAATAAATTATGACTTCCAAAAAATCAGGTTTTGTCTAAATTTATTACGAAAAATATATACATATGTAAGTATAACTTAAAAACAAAAAATCCAAAAAATTACAAATTTATTAACAAAACTTGTAAACACGTTCTCATAACACCTTCCCAATTCTTGTTAACTGTTTTCAAGCTTTTATTGAATCGAAAATAGCCTTTACACGCTTTAAAAATAAAAACGATTAACGTGAATAAAAATTTAAATTTATACCTCATCCAGTACTGGAGCACCATATATAAGCTGATTATATTGCAGTATTTTACAATGTTGTCGCTATTTAAAAGAAAATAAAATATATTGAAATAATACTCATGGCCTTTATTGAAAAATCTTAAAATTTAAATTTTCTTAAATGTCGACTTTTATTGTTAAAAAATTTTTTGATGTAATTAAATCAGCCACAAAGGCTATTTAATGCGCTTATATGTATGTGACAGGGGTGTGTTAGGGATTTGTGTAGATTTATATGTTTGATAGAGCAATCAAAAATTAACTGGTTTAAATTTACGTAATAAAATCCATACTTATTTTAGAAGCCATAAAACGCTCACATATATATTTCAACTTCTCCACTTCATATTTATGTGCTATAGCAAAAATACCTTCAACATGGCTTTCCATTAAGGCTTAAAATAAGAGCATAAATTTAGAAAATATTATTATTAAAAACCATCATTAATTTTTTTAGTATAAAAAAATTCCAACATTGCACGAACACATTCGGGAGAAGAATCAGAAATTATTAACTCTCCCTAAAAATTTTTTTGTGAATATTATTCTATGAAAAAGAGCTAGTACTCATGCTTTTCTTAGATTTAATTTTATAGACCTTTTGTGCTTCAGCCATTAAATTTTGATCAAACATTCTTTGGAATACTACACTATTTTGTGCTAAAACACAACGATGTGTTTTTATAATTTCATCGTCAACCTATAAAATAAATTTAGGTAGAATTAAGTTTCTCCAAACCTTAATAACAAAATCAGTCAATGTTTCATTTTTAAACATTTCAAGATAAGTCTCTTGTAAATCAAGAGTTGAACTATAACAATCAAATTCAACTTCACAATGAAGATTTAAAGAATCTAGAAAAATAAGTCCCATCTTTTAACATTTATCAAAGTTCTTTACCATCATGTTGAATTACACTATCTAACGAGACAGAAGAATAGCCCATCCTATTACTCTTTTCAAACTTGTATGTGGATCTAAAATACAAATAAAAAATTCTAGAGAAATACATACTTAAAACTTTGCTATATCTATTGTGGTAGAGGGTTCTTCAAAATAAACGGTTCCTCGATGATTTATTACTGCATAAATTTTATATTTTGTATTGACAATAGCATCTATATTATCTGGCCCTATTTGTCGAAGCCAAATTGAAATTTTACTAGATCCTCGGCCTAGACATAGATTTAATTCCCATTCCAAAGTAGGAAATTCAGAACTGAAGAATGGTTCACCTAGAAAATTTATAAAAGGTATTCTCAAGAAACAAGCAAAATTACTTGTCAAATACAAACATTTACTGTTTGATAAAGCATCTCGAAGCTTTCTAAGATCGTAAAAAGTCCAATTAAATTTTGTTGTAATAGTCTTCATCTAAATAGAATTACACGGATTCTAAGGGTAGAAAAAACAAAAAAGATAATGAAGCGTATTGAATAAAAAAATATTAATAGAGTTGAACTAAAAAGTCATAAAATTAAATTAACAGTCATCATTATTTATCCAATCCATTTTTTGGAAAATAAAACATATTTATCAATACATTGGATAATTTAAATATTTATTAGTATTATTCCCAATTTCCAAATATCCAATTTCCAAAAACTTCATAGCCAATTCTGGATATTTATTTTTAACGTCTTCCCATTCTTTACTTTTCAAAAACCAATTTTTAATTACACGAATATAATTTGTACAAGCCTTGAAATTAAAATTTTAAGAATTAAATTAAGTATATTTTCTTTTACTTTCTCCAAAATTTCAGCTTTATACAAACAAATAAATTTGCAATATTTTAAAATATTTTTCCCATCTAAAATTTAAAAATATTTTAAATTATAAAACTGGGTTATACCAAGGTTTGGCGGTTTAGGATTGTTTGGATCGAATGGATGTGCAGCAACAAAAGGCATTCCCGGCGGTCCGATTTTTGGTTTTGCTTAAATTAAATTTTTATACAAACAAAACTATTTAATTCCTAATACCCGATGCGGGCAAAGTGGTGATAAAGGTTTCAACACTCTTTTTTGAAACATATCTCCTCCAGTAAATATAACGAAGCGGTTAAAAATAATGGTCTAACGAGAGTCTTTCTGAATAGAGTAGAGTTGGACAAGCCGAGACCGATACCGAGACTGATACCGAGATTCTCGGCTTTTTTCCAATATCGGTCTCGGTTTTTTCATTCTCGGTCTCGAACCCGATACCGATATTCTCGGTCCATTTCTCGGCGAGAAACGATACTGACTCAAAGACCCCAATTTTCTTGTTTTTTTAATAAAACTGAGAATTTTTGACCTTTGGCCTTCTGAATTTCAAAAAATTTTCGCCTGCGGCGCTGAAAAGAGTGACCCCTTCTTTATTTGCCTTACAAAATCCGAGCATTTATCTAAGCCCTCACGATTGAGTTCGCACGACTCTTTTATCTAGCTCAACTGAGTCCCAGTAATTTAATAAAATTAAAAGGCTATATATACAATACTGGGTTATTTGGAGGGATTTGGGTGTTTATGGGGATATCAATGGATTTGGAGGGATATCGAATGTAAGGCGGTGGGATATCGAATGTAATCGAATGTAATATACTTTTGTAACAGAGTGTATAATCCTTTTACCTATAAATCCTACTATTGTATTTTTTTAAAAAAGGATGTTAGCCATCAATCGAATCGGATCCAGATGATGAAGAGTATTTATGTGATGATTTGGATGATGAAAATAATGAATAAATTATTTTTACACGTATTTTTTGACATAAAATAAAAATTTCTGTTAGTCTCGGTCAGTATCGTTTCTCGGTATCGGTCTCGGCTCAAAATGATGGTATCGGTCTCGGTATCGGGTTCTTGAGGGGGGGGGGGGGTTGGCCGATACCAGTATCGTTTTGTCCAACTCTAGAATAGAGTCGAGAATTTATAACGATACATAACAAAATTTTGATTTTTTAAGTCACATGGGCACATAGATTTAACTTATATTTTAGATTTTAAAAAATTGTTTGGAGTGTTAAAATTTATGTAAAACTTTGATTTTACATAATTTAAATGAGAATATTTTTTTGAATAAAAATAAAGATTATTTAAGAACCAATCCAATCCCCGCTAATCTTTGAAGATAAAAAATGTTCGCATTCATATTTTAACGGTTCCACTTTGTATTTATGTGCCATAGCGAAGAGATCATCAACATTACTTTCCGATATGGCTTAAAATAATGATTTAAAAAATATTATTCGTTGATTTAACTTTTAATTTCTCCAGTATAGAAAAATTCCATCATATCTCTAACAGAATTAGGAGAAGCATCGGAAATTGTAATCTCTGTCTAAATTATTTTAAAAAATAATTTTTAATTTTCTGGTTTATCATTAAAACATTATATTAATACATAGAATTTAAATCGAAATTTAAAAAGATAAAGGAGACAAAAGTTGGGTATCCCCGTTTTGGGCACAAGACCAGCTAAATTTTAGCTGAAAAGGTTTAAATCCATCAATTTTTCTTGAAATCCTTTTTATAGACTAATAAATTTAGTTAACATTCTAGCGATGATCTACTCTCGTTATTTGTTCCCCTTTAATAAATTTTACTCCAATGACTAAGCACTAAGCAATGCATAATCCGATGCCTATTTAGTTCAAAATTTTCTTATCCAAATAAGTATCCCTCTCAATCATTATTAAATTTAAAATTTACATTTTGTGATATGTCTAGCATGTCATTCTCTTCAAACATTTTTTGAAATACTTCACTATTTTGTGTCAAAATACAACGATGAGGGTAATAGTGTCGTTTCCCAGCCCCCTTTTTTTCCTCCCAATTTTCTACCCTATGTTTGTACGGAATGGTCAAATTTTCCCCTTTCTTTCATCAAATTTGCCTTTCCATATTTTGCCTAAAAACAATCAAAAAAATTAATTTTTTATTCATTTCTTTCACAAGGATAAAAAAGTGAGACATGATGCCAAAAATTATAAAAAACATTTTCAATATTGCCAAATCGTTTTCGCCACATAAATTCCGGGCGATAACTTTTATAGGTTTCAGTGTTGTTGCCAGCTTGATGTCTGAATTTTCGTTTATAAGTTGACCACAATGATTCAATGTTCTGTGTATGGACATTAGGATCTTCGCTATCAACGTATTCTTCTGAATGATTAACAGTGGCGTGGATATATTGTTCTGGAAGCTTTGGAATCATTCAAAAAAATACGGTTTGAAATTCTTTAGTTCTTCCATTTTTATTAATTGGGAAAATGATTCTTCTCATTACTCTAATACTTATTTAAATATCACAAATTAATCTTTTTGATTGTTTTTAGGCAAAATATGGAAAGGCAAATTTGATGAAAGAAAGGGGAAAATTTGACCATTCCGTACAAACATAGGGTAAAAAATTGGGAGGAAAAAAAGGGGGCTGGGAAACGACACTATTACCACGATGAGCTTTAATAACCTCATCTCTAACCTTCAAAATAAATTATTCTTTTTACATTTTTATTCAAAAAATACCTTAATAACACAATCACTAAATAGTCCATTCTCAAAAATATTCTGATAATTTTTCTTTAAATTATCAGCCGAATCATAACAATTAATTTCAACTTCACAATAAAGGTTTAAATTACCTAGAGCTACAAAAAAACTTTGATTTTTCTATTAACTCTCTATTTAATTACCATTATTAACTAATTTGTTCAAAGAAATACTTCTCCAGCCCAACTTTTCTTGATCTTCAAATCTGTGCGTAGATCTTTAAAAAATATTTTTAAAATAAATAATTGCCCTTAACTCAGCAATATCTACTACAGAATCATAATTATTCGCATAGATTTTATATTTAGTATTTCCATAACCCTTTAAATTATTTGGCCCTATTTGACGAAGCCAAACATTAATATTATTGCTCCCTTTAGTAAGTTCAACACGTAACTCCCATGCCACTGCTGGGAAGTCTGGACTGGAAAATGATTCACCTAAAAATTTTGTCCAATCTTTTATTAAAATTTGTAGAATTTACTTGTTAATTGAAGTGGTCTAGTGTTAGAGAGATTTTCGTGAAGCTTTTTTAGACCTTCAATATACCAATCAAATTTAAAATTAATTGTCTTCATCTAAATTTAGGTAAATTATGAAAGAGTTATTTTCTAAATTGAACAGTTTTAATGAAAATATATGAAATGACAGTCAATATGTAATTAATGGTTAGTAAATATGGGACGGTCAAAAAATAACCATCGTCTAGAATGAATAAAAAATATAGAGTGAATAAAGAATGTCAATGAACACACGAATGGCTTTGGCTTTACTTTTGCTGTAATGACCTCATTTGCAGGGGCGGTAAGCAAAAAACGAGTTAGGGGTTAACTAACCCTCATCTGCGGGTAGGTTAACCCAGAACCCTTATGCGAAAATAGGGGTAAGGGTAACCCCGAGTATGGTTAGTAGAGACCCCAGCCCGTAGTTCTTTTAAAATTTTCTAAGAATCCAAATTCAACTTAAAAATTCCATGTTTTAGATAAATTAGAGTGTGCCCTATAATGTACTTAATATAATTTTTAAAAATTTTCGTTTATAATAAATTTACTGTAAGCTCTCGCATAAAATACTCCATTTTTGAGAGAAAAAGGGAGAGAATATTTTTTTCATTCCCGACGGTTTGAGAGAATATTAATTTTTGGGAGAATATTTTTTCCCCATTTTTGAGAAAAAAGAATATTTGTTCGGAATAGTCTTCAAGATCAAGCTAATCCAATATTCTCCTATTTCTGAGTATTTGAGATAGATAATCTCGAAAAGAATCATCCAACCACTTTTCTAATCTACTCCGATTGTTTAAAGGTAATTGGATAAAAGAACGGCAGAGTCTTTAACATAGTTTCTTAGAGAAAACGTAAGCGTGAGTTACAGTTATCAAGTAAATTTTTTTTAAAAATGTTTAACATTTATTTTGATAAAAGAATCATAAAAGTCAAGTACAATAAATAAAAAAAGATTCAAAAGAATCTTAAAATTTAGATCAATACATTGGATAATTTAAATATTTATTAGTATTATTCCCAATTTCCAAATATCCAATTTCCAAAAACTTCATAGCCAATTCTGGATATTTATTTTTAACGTCTTCCCATTCTTTACTTTTCAAAAACCAATTTTTAATTACTCGAATATAATTTGTACAAGCCTGGAAATTAGAATTTTAAGAATTAAATTAAGTATATTTTCTTTTACTTTCTCCAAAATTTCAGCTTTATACAAACAAATAAATTTGCAATATTTTAAAATATTTTTCCCATCTGAAATTTAAGAAATATTTTAAATTATAAAACTGGGTTATACCAAGGTTTGGAGGTTTAGGATTGTTTGGATCGAAAGGTGGATGTCCAACAACAGGCATTCCCGGTGGTCCGATTTTTGGTTTTGCTTAAATTTAAATAATTTTATTTCCATATTACATGGTCCCTTCAATTGAATGCCCCTATTTTTGGAGGGATTGGAAAATAGAATGTCTGCCATTCAATAAGGAAACAATACTAAATTTCCCGATAAATCGACACAAAAGTTAAACTCATGATTTTAACGTCCCTTCTCGAAACAAATCCCCAATGAATAATAACATGTCTTTTAACATGTCTTTTTAAATTTATATTTAGGTATATTTAACGAAAACTTAATGCTTAACGAAAACTAAAGTTTTAAAAAAACATTATTTTACACAATTTAAACAGGAATATTTTTTGAAATAAAATTTTTAAAAACCAATCCAATCCCCGCTAATCTTTGAAGACAAAAAATGTTCACATTCATATTTTAACGGTTCCACTTTATATTTATGTGCCAAAGCAAAAAGATCATCAATATTACTTTCCGGTAAGTCTAAAAATAATGACTTAAAAAATATTATTCGTTGATTTTACCTTTAATTTCTCCAGTATAGAATAATTCCAACATAACACGAACACATTCAGGAGAGACGTCAGGAATTGTAATTTCAGTCTAAATTATTTTTTAAAAATAATTTTTTAATTTTGGGTATAGGGTTGTCAAACCGAAGAACCTATGATTTCTCGGTTCGGTTTCGGATATCTGAAGATTTTCCAAAAACCGACAACTCTAATTGGGTATATTAATAAAAAGGAAATTCTGCCACAGAATTTATAACTGAATTTGAAATTTTAAGAAAAAGGGGACAAAAGTCCTCTTAATCCGTTAATTTTCTTTAGCTTAGTTCATATCAAAGTCGATGCCCTTTACTTCCTATTTTAATAAATTTTAGTCCAATGCCTGGGCGTTTTAATGCAAGCCAGAATTTATCTTTTATTTTGCGTTAAATATATTCTTCTCTCACTCAACCAAATATTTCCCTAATAATTAATATTAAATTTAAAATATACATTTTGTGATATGTCCAACATGTCATTCTCCTCCAACATTTTTTGGAATACTTCACTATTTTGTGCCAAAATACAACGATGAGCTTTAATAACCTCATCTCTAACCTTCAAAATAAATTATTCTTTTTACATTTTTATTCAAAAAATACCTTAATAACACAATCACTAAATATTCCATTCTCAAAAATATTTTGATAATTTTTCTTTAAATTATCAGCCGAATCATAACAATTAATTTCAACTTCACAATAAAGGTATAAATTACCTGGAACTACAGAAACTTTATTTTTCTATTCTTTTTTGTACATAGAGCTGCGCGAAGATTTTCATTCGTGAAAATTGGGATTCTTTTCGTTTAGTAAAAATGTAACTTTTTTCGTTTCCATTCAATTGAAAGCAAAATTCAATTTTCGTGCAGCACTTTATTAGGGTTTCACCGGAACTGAAATTTTGACCGGAACCGAAACTTTTCTAAGTTCCGGCCCGGAACCGGAACTTCCGGTGAAACCCTACTCTTTATCTACATACTTACCATTACCAATTAATTTGTTTAAAGAAACACTTCTAAAACCCAACTTTTCTTTATCTTCAAATCTGTGTGTAGACTCAGAAATATCTACTATAGAATCACATCTTGCAAAAGTATCCGCATAAATTTTATATTTTGTATTTCCATAACCCTTTGAATTATTTGGCCCTATTTGACGAAGCCAAACATTAATATTATCTTCTCCTCTTTTAAGTTCAACACGTAACTCCCACACCACTGCTGGGAAGTCTGGACTGGAAAATGATTCACCTAAAAATTTTGTCCAATCTTTTATTAAAATTTGTGAAATTTACTTGTTAATTGAAGTGGTTTATAGTTAGAGTTGGAGAGATTTTTGTGAAGCTTTTTTAGACCTTCAATTGTCCAATCAAATTTTAAATTAATTGTCTTCATCTTTATTTAAAATTTATTTTTCTAAAAAGTAAAGTTTTAATGAAAACTAAAATGAAAATAATTATGAGATTTTCAAATGAATGTCCATCGATATTTATATGGGAAAATATGAAATAAAATAAGTCAATAAACACGAATAGTTTTGGAGTAATTTGCTGCAAGACCTCTCTTTTGAGTGGGCAAATGAAAGAGATTAAATTCATATGTTGAGGCAATGATACTTAATGGGCATTTTATGCCCCACATTTCGTTCTTTAGTCAGAAGAGATGAATTTATGTCGACATAAAAATTTAAAAAATTTTAAAAAAAAGTTTAACATTAAATACTATTGCGAAAATGTAATGGGAAAAATTCAAAAACCTCACAATTTCACAAATCAAATTTTAACAAATAGGCTTTTATTTTATAGATAAAATAACTTTAATTTTCAATCAGGACATGCAATGTAAGCAGTAAGAAAAATTAATGAAAAGATAGGCAGGGATGTCTAACCTTGTATAGCTCAAAAATTTTCCAAAAAATTTCGATCGTGGAGCAACAGGGTCAAACGTAAACACTTTTCTAAAAAAATTACACGGGACAAGCACTTGACTGAAGATACCAAAGTGTATCAAATATGGTATCAGATATGGGTCAGATTTTTTAAAAAGGGTATCCGCATTAGAGACCGGACCGATACGATATATCGATAAACGATAGCGATATTATCGATCGATCACTCAAGTCCGGTCCCTAATCCAAATACATCTTTCTTATTTTAACCTAGTATTAAAAATAATTTCTTAAATTTAAAATTTAATCCAAAATTCTATACAAATCAAAATTAATTTTTAAAAATTTTTTAATTAAAATTTATTTTTTAGGTAAAATACGATTTGGAACATAATGCTCTTCTGCCTTCCAATGTACTTCTTTTTCCCCTTTTGTTGCACGTTCATATTCTCTTGCATGTTTAAATATTTCAATATCACGCCAATCTGCCTTGTCGAAATCTGGACGAATATTGTATTTTGGTTGTTCTTTGTCCTCTTTTCGTTTTTTGCCAAAGTTGAAATGATCGTTTTGACCATAGAATTTGGAATCCTGAAAAATATTTAAAGAATTATAAGAAGCAAAAATAATTTAAAATTTTCCTCACTAGTGGTTAAAAAAGTTATTTTATAATTAGGTGTGTATTAAATTGGAAAGTATTGTTTAGTGAACTTTCCCCACCTTTTGACACACCAAATTTAAAATTAAATTTAATTTTAACAAGTGAAACCGAAACTTTTGGGGATATCGAAAAATATATTCTATTTTTCCTTACTCTTCTGTTTTAAAGAAAAAATGCGGTCCAATAAATTTAATATATAAATGGGGAAGCTCTGAGCCAATTTTTCCCAATCTATTTTATTGAATAATTTATTTAAAAACATTTTTCTAACGATAATAATCCCCCCCCCCAGCCCAAAAAATTCCTACAAAAAATCAGAAAATTTTTTTTTTAAATACTAAAATTTTTTTAATTTAAAAAATTTCCCCAACCATACAAAATTCAAAAATCCCCCCAAAAAAATAAATAAAAATAAACAAACATCAAGCATTTCCTGTTCAATTTCCAAATTCTTTTTATGCAAATCCCATCTCCCTTCATCATCAGCATGTCCACGTTCCTCATCAGGTGTTGGCTCACGTCTTCTCTTTTCCCTTTCCATCATTTTTTTCAATTCTTTAGCTTCCTTCTTTTGCAATTTTCTTGCTTTTTTCAAATCTTTACTAATTTCTTCTTTACTTAATTTAATTAATTCATCCATTTTTTTCAATTTCTTTTTGTGTTCCTTCTTTTCACGCTTTACTTCAGCTTCAATTTCTTCTAAAATTAATTTAAAAATTGAATTTTAGGGAAAATTTTTAGGCTAGTATATAAACGGAAAAAATAGGTAACCCTCTAATTTATCAAAAAAAAAAATTAAGGGAAAATTGAGTTTGTTCTTGTTTGAATTTTTTAGAGTTGGAATATATTCTTGAAATAAAAATTTTGTTTTATATTATTTATTGTTAGTAGGCAAGAGGAAATAACTAAGGAACCATCTGAAAAAAAATTATTTTATTCGAGAAATTATTCAAAAAACTAAAACAAACCTTTTGGTTGAAATTCTAATTACATAAACTGAGAGACTGAATAATTTTTCAGTTTATGTAATTATAAGTTCAACCAAAAAAATTATTTTAATTTTGCCTATCGACTATTTTAATCAAATTTTAGATTCATAAATAAAAGTTAAAAAATTAATTTAAAAATTTTAAAAAACTTGAAGCGTCTAAAATTTAGAAAACCCCCAAAAAACTTATTTTTGCCAAAAATTAAAAAAATTTATACCTATCGGCACATTAATAGGTTTAGGAGCACATCCCTCTTCCCAAATTTTTCGTATTTCTTCTGGCACATTTTCTCTAAATTTCGGCACTTTATACTCTTCCATATGGTCAACTTGAATTACTCTTCCCAGCAATTTAATTCCATTAAAATTGTCCACAGCCAACACAGTCGAACGTTGGTCTTGATAGCAAACAAAGCAAAATCCCTTACTTTTCCCGCTTTTCCAGTCTCTAACCAAATTTACATTAACAATTTCCCCATATCTAAAAATTAAAAAAAAATAATTTTTTTAAATTAAAAAATAAAATTAAACTGTGAAAAAACTGCAAGAATATCCCCTTCGTTTAAATCATAGGGAAGATTTCCAACGTAAATCCATGCCGAATTTTTGTATTTTTGATGCCAAGATTTTCCTTAAAATTTAAAAATTAAATAAATGTTTAATAAAAAAATTTTACCTAAATCCCCTGATATTCCAAGCTTTAATTCTCTTTCATTTATGTTGTTTAGAATTTGAATTTTTGTTAAACGATTCATTTATATTTTTAAAAATAAGTCTGAAAAAATGAAGAAATTTTTTTAACAAATTTTGAAGTATAAAAAAGAATGTGATAGAAATCAAGGAAGGGAACAAGTATGGCAAACAAGGAACGTTAAATTTTAATTCTGCCTTGATGCTTAAAATTTTTGGAATTTTCTTGTTTGGAATTTTGAAAAATGCCTAAAATTAATTATCTTACTAAGACTCTAGTGTCAAAAGGGTATTTTGGGTCTGTACACTATTTCTGCTTTCTTTTTATCTTTTTCCAGTTAGGAAGCGAGAAAAGGGTCAACAGTGGAAAAATTTTAAAATGTTCAGTAAGCCAACTAAAACCAAAACTAAAACATCTTTGCCAGCAGAATTGTTATCAGAAATTGTTAACTTTATTCCTTTTAATGAAAAATGGGCGGTCACTAGAATTTCTAAATTGTTTGATTATTTCGTTTTTAAACTCCAAAAAATCTGGATAATTAAGTTAAGAACTGTAAGTTGAGTTAAATTATAAATTAAATTATCACTATAGGGGAATAATTTTATTTCCAACTATTTTATAACCGTAAAATAAATTGATCTAAAAATAATTTAATAAAACTAGGAAAAAACGCAATGTATTGCTATTTTTACACAAATCAAAGATGACTTTACCCGTTTGAAGGCTCCTGCTTGCGCTGGAAATCTGTATGCTCATCATTTGCCAATATTTACCCATATTTTTGGAGGTTTGTTACTTTTCATTAAATTAAGGGGTATGAAAGAACTTCGGATAGCTGAACTTAATTCCGATTTACCTCTAGAATCATCTCTTATTTGTGTATCTGGCAGATACAAACGAATTCTAGAAATATTTTTTAATTTTTAGATATTTATATGCGCCTTCATGACTTTTCAAATGATCTTAGAGGACTGGATCTTATACTTGCAGTAAGTGTTAAAATCTTCTTGGGACCTAATTTTTGTTTTTGAATAATTATTAAGTGATTTTTATTAAAAATGTTTTTTAATATATTTTTGTGTTGCAGGATGTTCAAGGTTGGCCAAAAGTTGATGTTTACACAGGAGCGAGAAATGTTGGTTTTTTTTTAATTTTTGACAATTTTTGCTGTTTAGTTGAGGAATGACTATGTAACCAAGGTAAAAATACTTGCTCCTCTCTTCGAAAATATCTTCAATATGCTCAACAATTCCGCTTGGGAATTTATTGATTATTTGCTGTGGAGACTATTCGGGAAAGGTTAATTTTAAAATTTTTGCAATAGTTTTACAAAAAATTTGCTAACAATCAAAAAAAATTTTTTTCAAATTAGGTGTTCGTGGGTCTGTCAGTCGTCTCGTCACGACGTATAATAATGTAAACAAGGAAGCCGCGCGAGCCGCCCGTCAATGATTTGCCGTATAGTGTTAATTTTTGAAATTGAAAACAAATTTTGTTGCTGTTGATAAAAATTTAATTTATTTCGTTTATTTTTTGTCATGTATGATTCAGTTTGAATATCTGATAGATTATTGTCGATCAAATTTCTAATCTTATTTTTGGTTATTGTCGAAATTTTATATTTTTAGTTAGAAAAATGGCAAAATATTGTTTAAGTGAGTTTTCCTATGTATTTAAAATAGTAATTGAATCATAAACAATTTAGAGAAACCCAGTAGACGTTTGACTTGCAAAAAGAAGTATAAAATTCAACGCAAAGTTCGTGAACATTCAAAGAAGATCAAAAAATTGGATAAAGGTTTATTTTTGTCAAAATTTCATGTGTTATTTTTTAATTTTAGCCTCAGCAAAAAAGAAAGGAAGAAAAGGAGAAAAATCTATTGCAGTGCCAGGCAAATGTCCATTTAAGGAAGATTTATTAAAAGAAGCGGAGACGAGACGTGAACAAATTAAAGATGAGGCACGAGAAAAGAAACTTAAAGTTAAAGCGTCTTTAAAATTAAAAAAGAGTGGAAAACAAGTGAATAAGGAAGTAAAGAAGTCTTTGGAAGAATTTGTTAAGAAGGCTGAAAATGATAGGGTTTGTTGATTTTTTGAAGACTTAAATTTAGGGATAATTTACAAAAGATACATATGGGTAATTTTATAAGAATCTGAAAATAGTTGTTCTTTAAATTTTTTCCCCTTTTATTTCGATAAGTTCTTTTGGGGCATGTTTTTCTAAAATATTTGATTATTTTTCCCTTTTCTAGGAACTCTTTGAATCCGCACACGATCAATATCTCGTGGAATCGTTGCCTGAAGTTGTTGAAAGTGATGGAAAGTCGGCAAGAACTTACGCTTCTGAAGTGCGAAAAACAATTGAAAATGCGGATATTCTTATCGAGGTTTTTTTATAATTTTTTGGAATCAAGAATACAGAAGGATTAGGTCTGTCTTCTTTTATTACAAAGTGATTTTTTTTCATATATGATCCTCGAATTTTGATTTCTAAGAGGAACTTCAAGCTTTAACTTTCTAAAAAATTATTTATAATTTTAAGGTTCTTGATGCTCGCGATCCTATTGGAAGTCGCAGTCCCAAAATTGAAAAGCTCGTTATTGACAAAGGCAAACGGCTTGTTTTGTTGTTAAACAAAATTGATTTGGTTCCGAAGGAGAACGTGAAGAAATGGCTTTTGTATTTCCGAAATTATTTACCGACAATTGCATTTAAAGCTTCAGTTCAAGAACAAACTCAAAAATTGGTTTTTCTTGTTAATTTTTTAAAATAATTTTGAATTTTCTAGGGGCGATTTTCTCACTCAAATTTGTTGTCAGCTTCAAACTCTTCTAAATGTGTCGGTGCTGATTTGGTAATGAAACTTTTGGGAAACTATTGCCGTGTTAAAGATATAAAGACTTCTATTCGTGTTGGCGTGATAGGTAAACAATTAAATTATTTTTGTGAAAAATAGACTTAATTATTAAGGTTTTCCAAATGTTGGCAAAAGCAGTGTGATAAACAGTTTGAAAAGGAAACGTTCATGTCAGACAGGTGCAACGCCAGGATTAACAAGGTTTTTGAGTTTTTTGGTTAAATTTCGTGTTAAAATAATTCCCCATAAATTTAGGCAAATGCAAGAAATTCAACTAGACAAACACATTTGTTTAATTGACTCTCCTGGTGTTGTGTTGGAATCAAAAAAGAGCGGTGAAAACTTTGATTTGGCTGAATTAGCGCTTAAAAACGCTGTCAGGGTTGAAACACTTTCTGATCCATGTACACCAGTTAAAGCTGTTCTTCGACGTTGTTCAGTCAAAATGGTTTATAAAATTTATTTTTGAATTTTAAAATAAAACACTTTAGTTAATGCTTCATTACAATATTCCTGAATTTGATGATTGTGATAGTTTTTTGGCTTTACTTGCAAAACGTTCTGGACGTATGAAGAAGGGTGGAAGGCCAGATTTGAATGCAGCTGCAAAACAGGTTTTTGATTTGAAATTTTTTAAAATTTAAATAAAAATTTTTGAGGTCTTAAATGACTGGAACAGTGGGAAATTACATTATTTCACTGAACCTCCAGAACAACAAATTGTCTCGGAATTTCAACCTGAGTTGGTGTCAGAATTTGTAAAGGAATTTGATTTGAACAATTTAGAGGAGAATATTCGAGTTTTAGTAGATTGTGAGTTCGAAAATAAATTTTTTTTTAAAAATATTTTTATAATTTATTAGCATTGCCTGACCAAAGAATGGTTTCTGCCTCTGCTTATGATGCTTCTTTGCCCATTTCTGACGGAAATATGGAAGTAACAATTGATGAAAGTGAAGTGAATGATGGGGAAATGGAAGTGGATGATCAGAATAAAAATAATAAATTTTGTGAAGACAAGAATGCTTTTGTGTCACCCGAAGTTTTGAAAAATACAGATGGGAATTCTCAAGTTGGAAAAGTAATGAAACAAGCATTAAAGAAGAGGAAGAAACAACGAAGGAAAATGGGTATACATTTTATTTTTCTGGGTTTTTTACCACAGTTTTAGAGGTTATTTGGTGATTTTGGAAAGAGATATAGGGGGAATTTTGAAAATTCCATCTATTTTCCTCAAAAATCTGTCATTACCTCTTGGTTGTCCCAAACAAATAATTGTATAGCACAGCCACCGACCTGGCTTTTTTTATTTTGTTTTTAATTCTTCAAATTACTTTTTCAGTGAAAAAGACGGAGAATTTGGCAGACAAGCTTTTTACAGGGATGGAACTTTCGTGAATGAAGAATGCAAATGATACGTCTTGTATTTGTTATTACTTAAATTGTTGATAAAATCTATTTAAAATTTTAATTATAATTCTTTGTTTTACTTGTTGGTTACATTTCTATATTTTTAACTTTTAATTCTTGATTCTTTAAAAATATTTTAGAAAATGCCCAAAAACAAAAAATTAAATAAAAAATCAGCCTTATCAGGCAAAGATGATCTTCTTCTTGACCTTGCCAAAAATCCAATATTTAATGAAATGCCCATCAAGAAAAATAAAATCAAAATTGACAAGCGTTTTGAGGCCATGCTTACTGACAAACGCTTTGATGATCGGGATTTTCGAGTGGATAAAAGAGGAAAACCAATTAGAGGACAAGGAGGGAACTTTGCGAAGAGAATATATGAAATGAGTGAAGGGAGCGAGGAAAGTGATAAAAATGGAAGTGAAGTTGACGATGAGGAAGAAGAGGAAAATGATAATGAAGATACCGAGGAGGTGGAAGAGGGCAATGTTAGGTAATGATTTTTTACTTGGAAATGATTAAACAAAATTTTCAGGAGTAACGAGGAAAACACTAGCGCTGAGGAGGAAACCGATCAAGAAGAGAAGGATGACGACGAAGATGACGAATCTAGCGACGACGATGAATTGCCTCAAATTTCATTGGATTTAGCTAGAGGTGAAGCACCGGACGTTAATTCTAGTAGCAGTGAAGATGAAGAAGATAAATCTGAGATTTCTGACGAAGAAAATACTGGGCCAGACTTGGAAGAGGGGGTTAGACGTGTGGAATGGGCAAGTACTCGTCTGGCAATTTGTAATATGGATTGGAGCAAAATAAGTGCCGAGGCCTTAATGATTGTTTGTTATTTGTATTTAAAAAATAGTTTTTTTAATTTTTTGAAAAGGTCCTTCAATCATTAAAGCCGCCCTCCGGTGTAATCCATTCAGTATCTGTTTATTTGTCAGATTTTGGAGCTGAGCGTTTAGAATATGAAAAATTACATGGACCAAAGATTATCGTGCAACCATCAAAAGGAAAAGATCAAAGCGATTTGGAAGAGTAAGTTTTCTTTATATTTTATTTATTTATTCAAAGCTTTATTCTTAAATTTTTCGTTTTTGCTATCTATTGAATTTAAAAATTTTACAGGCGAACTCGTCAAGCAATTCACGCTTACGAACTCGATCGTCTTCGTTATTATTATGCTGTTTGTCATTGTGATACTTTAGAAACAGCAATCGCCATTTATGAGGCCTGTGATGGTGTTGAATATGAATCCAGTGGTGTCCGTTTTGACCTACGTTTTATCCCAGATGAAATGGACTTTGAGGTTTTTTAGTTGAAAATTTTTATTTTAAAGAAATTTTTTTAGGAAAACAGACTTCGTGACAGAATAACTCAAGAAGAAATTAATTTGGCTAGATTTAAACCAAAGAATGTAAAAACCCATCCACTACAATGCTCAAATCCAAAACTTAGCTGGGAAGAAGGAGATTTGGAAAGAAAAATGAAAATGAAGAATGCTTTTGGAGCTGAAACAAAATTGGAAGATTTTGAGTTTGTTTTTAGTTTTTTTACGATGGGTATGAGTTTCAAGGGCGTAGCCAGGAGGTCGATTTCAGGGGCTAAAATGGGATGTGCGCCAAAATTTTGGCGTTTACGTTAAATTTTTTTATAATTATATTTTTATCTTTTCAGTTCTGCAGGCGAAAATTTTGAGAATTTTGTGGGTTGTATGCGTAAAAAATTCACTTTTCTGAGTGTTTCCCTCCCAAAATTTTTTCTTTTTCCCAATTTCAGGGGGCTATAGCTCCAGAAGCCCTCCCCCCTCTGGCTACACCCTTGATGAATTCTTCAAAAATTTCTTTCCTTTAAGTCATTTCCTACTTTAAATTCCATTTTAGATCTTTAGTCGCCCCTGGTTCAGATGAAGATGAAGAAACACAGAAAAATCGTTATCAAATACTTATATCTGCTGCTAGAGAATCAGCAATGGAAAAAGGAGATATGTTTTCTGTTAAACAATTTTCTAATAAAGAAGAAAAGGAAGAAACTGAACTTTTGTCTGATGACAAGTTTGTGTCATTAAATGATAAAAAAGATGGAATTGTGGAAGATTCTAATGAGGATTCTGATGAAAATGAAGAAATAGAAGTTGGAAAAAAGAAACAAACAAAATTTCAAATTTATTTGGAAAGAAAAAAGAAAATTAAAGCAGAAAGAAAGAGAAAAGAATTGGAACAAAGAAAGGAAAGAAAAAGACAAAATAAAGGAGAAAATGAGGTTTTGTTAAAAGGAATTTTCTTTTGAAATTAGAAAAAAATTTTTTATTAAGGAAGATGATGGAAACAATGAGAAAAATGACGATAATGCAAATTGGCATCAAGTAAAGAAAGATGAAAGGTTTACAGCTCTCTTTCATGATAGTGCATTTGCGATAGATAAAACACATTCTCAATATAAAGGAGGGGATTTAGCAAATAGACAGGTTAGAAGAAATTTAAAAAAAATTTTTTTTGAAATTAATTTTTTAAAGGTTTACGGCAAAATATCTCAAAAAAGACGGACAGAAACAACTACAAATGATTCATTACTTGATAAGGAGGATAATAATTCTTTGGTAGAAAGATTAAAAAGAAAACAAAAGAAATTAATGGAAAGTGAAGATATTGAAAAATAATTAATATTTTAAATTTTTAACTTTGAGGATTTAGAGGAAGAAATATTTTTAATTAAAGGATTAAAGAAAAACTACGATAATTTTGTTCTTAAACAATACCTAATATTTTTGAATTATTTTTTAATTTTCTAATTTTAATTAAGATACAAAAAAATAAAAAAATGACCAGCACAAGTAGCACACCAGAAGAAGCAGGAAGCGATGATTCATTTTATGATTCTGATCTAGACGAAGAATTCGCGGATGCAGCAAATCGTTCAGTTCATGATCCAAGCACACCTTTTGTTCCTGTCCAGGAATCTCCTAGAGAGGAAAAGAAACTTGGCACAACTCTGTCTGGTAGAAGGTTAGGATCTATGGATAGTGCAAAAGCATCAAAATCAGGTTAGGGTTTTTTTTGGTTCTGTAAATTTGGATCGGGATCGGTCTGGGAACCATCTTGGAAAGTCCCTATCTTTAATCTAAGAGTGGTATCCAATTCCTGGCAGTTCCATTTTCGTTTAAAAAAATCAATGCTAATTAATTTCCTAAAGCCGAAACTGCCCCCATTTAAATAGCTCTGAAGGCCCTAGAAATTTTTTTCAAAAATAGTTCTGGAAGAGTGTACAACAATCCCAGAAGTTGAATCAACCGATGAAGAAACGGAGAATATCAACAAAAACAGTCAGGTTAATTTAAATCTGACGCCAATGAGGAAATTTTCTGCTGCCAACAAATCACCAAACCCTTCATTTATTCGGGCTTCCTTTTTTTATTGTGAAGCAAAGGAGGTAAAATATAAATTTTTCTCAATTAAAAAAATATTTTTAAAGAAGTTAAACAAAAATAAGGATGATAGAGAAGAAACACCTCCATTAAAAGAAACTTCTTGTGTTGTTGAGGACAATATAACGTGTGAAAGGAGTGAAAATAAAGAGACTTGAGAATTATTAAAAATAAAATCTCTCATATTTTCTAACAAAAAATATCTAGCTAAAAATTTACATGTTTATTTTTTGTTTTATTTAAATTAAAAAATCTTGTACAAACAAAAATAATTTTTGAAAGACAAATTTAAAAAATATAGAAAAGATCGAACAAAGGTTTTAAAGGACAAGGCTTTGTTTAAGGAGGATGCAGTGTGTTTTGCCCACTATGTCTATCTCAGAAACCATAAAGAATGAAATCCCCCTCCTATCAGAAATAGTGAAAATCAGATCTTATCTAAAAAAACCTTAAAAAATTTTTGTCTAAAAAAATAATTTACCCAATATAAACAATAAGCCCAACCCTTCAAATCTAAAAGTTCGATCTTCAAGTTAAATATACAAAATATTTTTAAAAAATAAACTAGTTTTTCCTATCACAATTTTAGTAGAATATATATTTTTAGTTAGATTTTACAAAAAATTATCCACCTTCATCCGTCTGATTTATTGTCTTTAATGGCCAAGCACGTTCATTACCGAGATCTTAAAAATCAGATTTTTAATTAAATAAATTTCTATAATATTTACCGATTGGACTAACATAATCTTTTCCAACCTGCCCAGGTAAGGGAGGCAATGGCAGCTTTTTAACTAAAAAATTTATTTTAAATGAGAAAATAAAAATAGATGAAATTTAGTCTTGATTAGTCTATCCTTGAAAATAAAAAAATTTTTCAACTTAAAATCCCTACAAGAAAATTTCCCCTTTCTCCACTTATATTTCCAACTAACCATTCTTTTTCACTGCTTTTAATCCCTTTTGTTCTGCTTTACTTCCCGTTGTTTGCACAGACACATCTCTAGTCGGGCTAGGCGTTCTACGGGTAATGTTATAGTTTTGCTTTGTTAACATTCCATTGAGAGGAACCGGAATGCGAGAAGGAGGAATTGGTGCAGTTTGTGTATTTACTTCAACTAAAGAAGCTCTCGTTGAAGTAGTTAATGATGATTGACCGGAAGTTTCTCCTCCTTTTTGTTGTTTCTTTTCACCGATAAATGATCCACCATTAGACCAAATTGGTTGAAGAACGGCACGGATATGTTTAGAAAATTCATTATTTGAAGAAAGAATTCCGTTTGATGGCAACTTAAAAAAATAATTTTTTATTAGATATGGTAATATTGGGTATGATGCCGAAATACTTACTAACAATAAACCATGTAAGTAGTGTCGAAATACGCGCTCTCAAGGAAACACACCGAACTGTCACCAAAAATTCCGTAATAATTTTTATACCATCGTATAGAACAGGGTCGATTTCCTATTGCCAATTTTTGGCTTTTTCGGCCCTGACACCCATTTTGAAAAGTTATAGGGCTTTAAAGTTTTTGACTTTTGGAGCAGTCGACTAAATCCTAAACAGACAAGTGTCTAAATTCTAAAAGTTTCCCCACTACAATAAAATGATTACGAAAAAAGGTCAAAAACACGTTTGATTGAATTTCAAATTTACCTAATTTAAAAATTAATCTCTAAAAAACAAAAAAAACCTTTTTTGAATGTTCCTCAGTCAAAGTGCTTAATGGCTTTGGCGGCGCCATTCGCAAAACAACAGGTCTACGAATTGATGGTTTTGAAATAAGTGATTGAGGTGGTTCAGTCGATGATGAGCAGGATGTTGTTGGAAGTGTTTTTGGAATTGGGGAAGTTGGAGGATGTGGAGGTTCTGCAGACGAATTCAAACCAAAATCTATACAAAGCATTTCTGATGTTCCCAAATTCTTATTGAATTGAGTATTTTGATTTGGAGGTGAAGTACTTAAGTGTCCTGAAATTAGTTTTAAATATTTTTAGTAAAATTATAAAGAAATAAATGGAGATTTTCTAGAAAACTAAATAAATTGTAAGAAATGTTTGGAGTCTGGTGGAAATTTTAGGAAATCTTATTAGAGATTAGAACGGGTCCAGGACCCAGACCCGTTTCCCGGACCCTTTTCCCAGTTTTTTAAGCAACCGGGAACGGGAATTCCCGGTCCGGGTCCTCCCGGTTAACTTTCAGAACCCGTTTCCTGGACCCGTTTTTTTCAAGATTCTGATCTCTAAATCCTATTCGATATTGGAGTTTACCTACACCCTCTAGACCTACACCTCAGGGTCTCTAGAGGGTGTAGGTCTTCAGGGGTGGAATCCTCTAGGCTAACCAGAGTATAAAATCTACTCAAAGAATTAACAATAAAAACAGAAAAGGTTGTGACTTAAAGAATAAATTTAAAAAAAAATTTTCACAAAAAAACAAACCATTAACTTGGTTTAGTTGTTCCGTTGAATTCGGTCTATTGTACAAACTTCCACCCCCAACCTTAATTAAAAATAAATTAAAATTTCTCAATCAAAACTCACAGATTCATATTCATTAATTTCAGAATAATAATGTTCTGGTCGCCGTTCCCCAATATTTCTATCAGAATTTTCGTTGTTTTCAGCTCTAAAATAATTTAAAAAATTATCTTTAAAAATAATAATTTCAAACAGAAGTGCTGCAGCAGCTGCAGCCTCTTCTCGGCGTCGAATCCGTTCTCGAACAATCCGAGGACTTTCACGAACTTTAAATTAAACAAAAATTAAAATTTCAATTAAAAGTTTTTATACCCGTCAAATATCGATAGGAAGGCTGGCTCCCACTTGTCAAACTCCCAGAAGCACTATCTTGTTGATTGTCAGGCAAAGATTTACCATCGACAGAGAATTTTTGAGAATTGTCCAAATTATTATTAGAAGCTGCTACTGATGTTGATGGAAGATTATTTGGCTTAAAATCTTTCCTAGAACGTTGATTGTGAATAGTCTGAAAAAAACAAGAATTTCACAAAGGAATATTTCAAAAATACCTTCGGATAGAGGTCATGAGAACTTTTCGGCTCATCCACATTCATCGATTTAGTCTTCTGTTGTACTGGAATTTTTCGGATTTTTGAATAACCAGGCTCGTAGATGCTCGATTCATCGCCTTTAACACCCGATGCCCGATCGCCCATTACGCTTTTGATTGAGCTGTAAAAATTTTTTGAGTCAATAATTTATATAAAATTGAAAAAAGAAATTAAAAAGTCGATACCTATAAGGGTCCTCACTCCAAAAAGAATATGTCTGTGAAGCACTAGCATAAAGATGGTCATCTGTACCACCACCACCATTTCCATTCCTCAAAAATGTTGGGTAGTCATATCGTTCTCGAAAGTGTATATCCTCCCCCTCCAATTTAGAGTACCCATCAGTGTCCAATTCATCATCAGGTTCATCCACACGGCAAGAGACAGCATTCTCCTCAATAAATTGATTTTTGCCATAATTTTCTTGGAAATAAAAAGATACTTTTTTCTGCCCAGTTTTTCTGCCTTTTATCAATGAAGAAGAAAGCGGCTTAAAATTATAAATAATTTTAAAAAATATTATTCAAAAAACCTTCGACATCCTCAATTCCTCTTTCGACCCTCCCTTCCGTGTCTTCTTTCGGCGTCTTGCAAAGCTGAAAAATCCACGGCTGGAACTTTGGGTCATATTATTTTGCTTAGAATTTGGAGTTGATCTATTTACATATTCTGATTTATGATTGGAAGAATTAGATATTTTTCCATCTCCATAAGACAAATTGTCATCAGAACAAATTTGTCGTTTTTTAATATTTAGACAACCACAAAACATTTTTTCTAAAAATTACTGAAAAAATAAAAAATATTTTAAATTTTATTTTGTTAGAATCGATAAAGAAAAAATAATTTTTTAAGTTTTATTGCTCTTTTTGAAAGTTTAGTGTTGAAAAAACAACAAATCAAAAAGAGTGCCCAGCTGGATATTGCAGATAACAAAAGCAATTTTTCCTAGAGAACTTTTTTGTCTAAACAAGGAATAATTGTAAAAAAAGTTTTCTAAACTTACTAAACCAAAGGAAATTAGGAAAAGCAGCTATTTGGAGTTAAAAGAAAGGTAATATTCAATAAAATAAATTTAGATTAAGGGTTAAAAAGGAAGGTACTTGTGAGTTATCCCTGACCAGTTTTTGCGGACATATTTTGCGGACCTACTTGATTAACAAAATGACCAGTCTTTCTTCCTACCTTCCTCAATTTCACTTTTCTTACATCATTCTGTACATCAAGTGAGTCCGCAAAAAATGTCCGCAAAAACTGGTCAGGAATAACTCACAAATACCAAAAGGAAATAAAACAGAATCGGAGTTTGAAAAAGTAAAAATTGAAGTTGGGATTGTAAAAATAAAAATTGGAATTGCAATTTTATTGTAAAAAATAAATATTTAAATTTCCACTTAATTTCTTTATTTCTTTTTATCTCTATCCACACAGTCTTTTTCCCAGATTTCTGGCGTTATGTTTTTTTAAAATCATGGGGTGAAAAAAATTTTTTCCCTTCATTTTTTAATAAATTTACATTAATTTTCTCAGATTTTTTAGGGCAAGTTATGTTAAAATTTTTTGGACTGGAATAATATATTTACAAAGCGATTTGTCCAATTAAAAAAAGACAATGGGCAATAATCAAGGGGGATTACACAAAAGAGAGCGTGCTTCGGATTCTCAACGCCGTCCAATTCCATCAACACCGACCTCAACCGTTCCATCTTCTGGTCATCATGCATTGCAAAGTCAGTCATCGACTGGTGATGATGGTTGTCCTGTTCAAGTTTTTTTTTGTTTAAAATTTTTGTAAAATTTTTTTAAATTTAGATGAAAATAGCTAAAGCAGAGTTGGCTGATGCTTTGGAGCATTTATCGGCAAATGAATGCCCTGTTGTTTTTAAATGGACTTCTCAATCACAAAATGCGAAACATGTTTACTTAACGGTAATATTTTTAAATAGCCTGAATTCTAACAAGAAAATGTTGCGAGGTGTCCGACCTAAAAACGGTCGAGACCAGGCTTATTTGATAAAGAATGTGCTTTTCTTAGTTTAGCAAAGATCTTTTGCCCTTTTTTGATCTGGCCAAGATATGGCTCTCCAGATCAAAAAACGGCACAAGATCTTTGCTAGAAAGGCCTATTCTCTATCGAATAAGCCTGGTCTCGACTGTTTTTAGGTTGGACACCTCGCAACATTTTCTTGTTAGAGGAGTTATTAATATATTTGTGACATTTTTCCTTTTGCTTTCATATCTTTTCAAAAATTATTTAAAATTCGTTTTTAATTTACAGGGTTCTTGGGACAATTGGAAAAGAAAAATTCCACTCGTCAAATCTACCAACGATTTCACTACCATAATTGATCTCTGTCCAGGTTTTCATTTTTTAATTTCTTCTAATTTAAACCTAACAATGAATAGGTCGTTATGAATATAAATTTTTGGTTGACGGTCGTTGGATGGTTGATGATTCTGGTGTTAAAACTGACAATCCAATGGGTAGTCAGAATAATGTTATCTCAATTGACGAACAGGATTTTGCTGTATTTTTTTAATTTTTTTGAAATTTTATTGAAAATTTTTTTAAAGGTTTTTGATGCTTTGGACAAAGACTTACAAGCTAGCAATGCTGGAGAAGCGATGCGAATGATGAATACAACTGGAGCTGCACAGCCAACGCATGACACTCCAAATGATCGAGAATTGGAAAGGTTGCGGGAATTTACTCAACAACTTCCGGATAGGCGTGATTTTGGTTTGTTTTTGTTTATAGGATTTTTGTACATGTTTTTAACCTTCTCTATCATAAGGCCTTTTTTACTTTTTAACTCTGTTACTAATATTTATGAAATATGTTTTTTGGGATAAATTCCACGATTTAAAAATTTTTAAAATTCTCCAGACATGCCAATTTCTTATTTCATAAGATGTATTTGACCATTTGTATCTTGTTTTCTTTTGAAAAATTCTAATTGTTTAATTAATTTTTAATTTTAGAGAAAGCTTCGAATCCTCCAATTTTGCCACCTCATCTTTTGCAAGTATTTTATTACTTCCAAAAAGTTAATTCATAATTAATTTTTAAAGGTTATTCTGAACAAAGACACTCCTGTACAATGCGATCCAAATGTTCTGCCTGAACCAAATCATGTAATGCTCAATCATCTTTACGCACTTTCCATTAAGGATGGCGTTATGGTTTGTTGTTTTTTAATTTTAAAATTGTAGCTATAACATTTAGGGGTTTTAAGACTTTGGTTAGTTTATTTCTGAATTTAAATTGGTCGTTAAAAATAATATTAATCTTCGGGCATAATATTTTTAACAATATTTAATCGACCTTTATAACTTAAACGGTGCTTGGAAATTTAGAATTTGCTCGTCCTCATACCACCTTACCGTATTTCTTCTAATAGAGCGGCTGCCTCCATTTGAACGGTCGTCTCCAATAGAGCGGCCGGCTGCTCTATTAAAGGAAATACGGTATATTATACCACCCTCATTTTGAGGTTTTGGCATGGGCGTCCAAGCACTGACATGGGAATTAGAGGTGTTCGAGCTAAAAACGGTCGAGACCGTTTTTAGCTCGGACACCTCTCAACCTTCCCATGTGCAGATAAGCCCCAATAATTTTTAAGTGTGTCAGATATTTAATAAGCTAACAAAAGTTTGTCTTTTAGAGCCTTTTCTTATTAAACTACCTCAATTTTCTTTCATAATTTTTAAAGGTATTGAGTGCAACTCATCGACATCGAAAGAAATATGTGACAACACTACTTTATAAACCTATTTAATTTGAATATAAATTTAAAGAAAAAGCTTGTAGAAGGCTTTTTATTTTTTCCAAAAAAAGCATATAAATAAATACCTATATAAATGTATAAGACTAATTAGCCATTTTAAATTTAAATGGATTTTCTTTTTCAAATTATATTTTTTTCAATTTATTATGTTTGTATAAAAACTATTTTAGACAATTTTTGTTTTTTTTTCAAACAAATTGTTATATTTTCAATTTGGATATCTTAATTTATTTAAATTGATGTATTTCTAGAGAGGGCAATTCGCAAAATATTGCCGATTTTTTTTAAATTAATTTTTGTGGACTTTCCGGTAATAGTTAATTTTGTGGTTCCCCTTTTTTGTCTCCAAAAATTCCCTCTTTGAGGAAGAATTCACTCTTTTTTGAGGAGGAATTCCCTCTTTTTGCCTCCGCTATATCACTTCTCTTCTACATGAAAATCTTCGTTAAAGTGATAACGATTTCGATAAACAAACAACTACATACTACCGACTTTACGGGACAGTTTTTTAATTTTTACCTTGTAAAATTTATTGTTTTTTTCGAAAATTTCTGACTTGTGAATTGCTCTTTCTTTCCAATTTATTTCTTAAACATTTTCTTTTTTAGCCACGAATTTCACACAAAAAATAAACGATGACCTATAGAATGAATTCCCTGTTTAAAAGACTCAGTTTCAACGTCGAGACGTCTCCAGTTTCTGTCAGAATACCTCAAAGTGCTTTTCAAATTATTCTTGCGGTTTGAATTTTAATTTATTTTAATTTTAAAATAAAATTAAGGCCAAAAAATGTGAATGCCAAAAAGAGGATGAGGAGAATAAAAAAGAACATGCAAAAGTAGAATTGGCAATTGAACCAGCTAATTTGTCAGGAGATGAAAAAGGGGATGGATATGAACTTATTGTTGATTATAAATTGGTTGTAGACTCGGAAACGAAATTGGTAGGGAAAAAATTTTTTAGCTAAAAGATTAGCCAGAAAATAATGAAAATTCTTTTAACCTCCATATTTATGTCAATTTATTCCTTGATTTTATTTGAAAATTCCTATAAATCTTTCCTCCAAAAATTCCCATTTACTATAATTGTCAAAACCCCTTGAATTTTCATTAGAATTTCTATTTCGATTTTTTTAATTTTTTAGAAATAAAAAAAGAATTTTTATTAGATTGAACGTGATAGATGGAAAGACAAAGAAGTTTTACAAGAAATTGAAACAAACTTGTGTACTATAGATTGGCTAGAATTTTCCCTTTGTGTAAGAGAAATGCTTGGAATACCTGGAGGTTTTTAATTTATTTTTAAAATTTTTGAAAATATTTTGTAGATTTGAGTGTTTCTAACGGTTTTCGAAATTTTGCTATTTTGGTTAGTTTTTTGAAATTTTTGAAAATTCAAAAAAAATTGATTAGAATTCAGACAGGACTTGGTATGTCAACACAAATCAACTAAACACATTTGGAGGCCGTTTATTCAAAGAATGGTATGAAAGGGATAGTCAAGGTATGTATTCTTCAAAAAAATCTTTTATTTTAAATTTTTAACAATTAGGAGAAAGTAATTGTGTTGTCCAATCTTTGACTGTAAATGAATTAAATCAACTTTTAACTGCTTGTTGTGCTTATTCAACGCCTGTTGTTCACAGGTTTAATTTTTTTTCAAAAATAGAATATCTAAAAAATTTTCTTTTTAGTAGAAATTTTGATGTTCTTTTAGAAATTGCTGATAAAGAAAAAATTACTGGTCTTTTACGTTTATTGGAGTCTTTTCTTGTTGAAAGCCGTGTTGTACATCCAATTAGGAAATTGGAGTATTCTGCAGGTTTTTTTTAATTTTTAAAAAAATTTTCGAGTTCCATTGGATTTTTGGTTATTTTCCTTTAGGAATCCAAAGTGTAAGGTACAATCCAAAAGCCAATGATTGTATTCTAACAATAAGAAAATTACGTAGACAAAACAAAAAAATATGAGAATAATTACTAATTTTGGACGCATAAAAGATATTTTTGAATTAAATACTCGAAAATCAGGCCCTTAATCAGAGGGAATTCACTCTTCCCCCCGAAAAAATCCTGTTTACGGCCTGTCGAAATTTATTTGGATTTTTAAGGAATTTTCCTAACCATTAAATTTTTGGGTAAATCCCTTAAATTTAAAAATAGTTTAAATTTCTAACTTTTCTTGAAAATTTTTATTTTATTAGAATATAGAATGACCCGTCTAGCAACTTCAGTACTTCGCTCTTTCCCTAACCGATTGGCCAGACTTGATTCTTTATTTTCTTATTTATCTGAAAATGGGGAAAATATAACTGATGTTGTATGTTTTTTATTTAATTATTTATAAAAAAAATAATTTTTAAGCATTTGGATGTACTTGAAATGCTTGAAATTCAACCGGAAAGTATAATTATTTGAATATTAAAAAAGGGTTATTTTCTCAATTTTAAGAATTTTCTTAACTATTTTTTCTGTTAATTTTTTAAAATTATTTTTGTATGTTTTTTGAACATTTTTCTTTATTTTTTCACTTTTTTGTTGAATTAAATGTTAAAAAAATTATTTTTATTTTTCAAAAAAATTCGAGAAAATCGCGTTGACTACTTTAAATATTTTTTTCTATGTAATTTATTTTTGGGGTTAGCCTTGAATGTCTACAACATTTTGGAAGGGAATATCGAAGAGATTTAGTGAGGGAATTAAATGGATTTTAGTGATTGAAAGGGATACCTACTTACCCAAAGTTTCACAAACACAATACTGGACCTTAGTTTCTAATAAAAGTTCCGTAAATTGGATACTTATCAGAGGTGGATCGGAATCCCGATTTCCGAAAAATATTTTCATTTCCGAGTTCCGACTTTTGAGCCAGTTCCGATTTTCGGCTCTTCCGATTTCCGACACCTCTGACTATTCCGACCCACCTCTGGTACTTATCGCCATAGTATCCAGTTCCTCTTAATCCTTCCAATCGCCTCGATATCTTTCAAAATGTTGTAGGCATTCATGGTTGGCCCTTTTTATTTTTTTTAAATTAAATTTTTTTCTAGATTTCCCTCTTAAAATGTTTGAAGCTTTTTCTTTTTTGCAATTAATTTCTTTATTTATTTCTTTACTTTTAATTTTAAATATTTTTTTATTTATTTTAAATGTTTCTTTACGTTTATTGAAAGAAAAGGAAAATAATAAAGGTTTTTATAAATTTTTATATTTTCTAAATAAATTTTAAATATTTTTAGTTGTTGAAAATGGAGATTTAAAATTGATGGCAATAATGGGCTCTGGAGGACGTAAATAAATTTTTTTAAATTCTTTTGGAATTAGAAATTAAAAAATTTGTCTTTTGTCTAGTTTAAGCGTCCAACCGACATTTATACGTCCAAATAAATTTTTATGTGTCCAAAGTACCCGGTTCTCCGTTTTAGACCAATGGTCCCGGTACTGCTCATGTGTACCTTAACTCTTGGTGAGTAGATCATCTCTATATACCAGGGATCGCACCGACATAAAAAAAATCCTATTTCGGGAATTGGGAATTTTTCGGTGCGATCCCTGCTATATACCAATAGTTTTTATGGTACTAATTTGAATCTATCGTAGATATACTACATGTGGTCTAATTGCGGAGGTTCAAACATTGGGTATGTGTGTGTTTGGACGCCTAATCTGGACGAGCCAAAAAAATTTTCTAAAAAATTTTCAAAAAATTTTTGAAAAAAATTTTTTTTAAAAAAGATACAACAGAAATGCTTAAATTGCTTATTTCAACAATTGACAGTAATTTATTTTCTGATAGAATTTATGTAATTGCTGATTCTGATAAATTGAGTCATACAAAAGTGGGGAATTTCTTTAAAAAATATTTTTTTAAATTAATTTTTTAAAGGTTTCTGATTTTGAAAAACAAACAGAAAAAAATAATTTTTTAATTTACAAAATTCCAAGAGCCAGGAATGTTGGGCAATCCTATTGTTCTTCTATTCTAACAACTTTAATAGCTTCTTGGCATTCTGCAAAACTTTTAAGGATAACTAGGTGAATTTTTTTAAATATGAAAAAATGGGCTAAAATTTGTAAACTTTTTTGAAATTATTCCTGTTTATGATTTTTTGTTGGGAAAGGTTAGATTTTTTGATAAATAAAAAAAAATTAGACATTGAAAAATCAAACAAATTCTCTAAAAAATGGTTGTGATATAATGTCATTTTTTGAAGAGACCGGACCGAATGAAGTTTTGAAAATAAAAATTTTGTTTGAAATTATCTTTAATTGAGACCAGGGGTGGGCGCAAGAGGCAATCGAGAAAAACGCAAAACGCAACGCAAGGCCAAAAATCAACGCAAAACGCAAAATTTTGAAAAAAATTTTTAAATCGAGTATTAGCCATTTTTCAGTTAAAATAGAAATATTACTATAAGTCAGCGAGTCCTAGTTGATCTTGTGATACAATTAAGTTGGATGGGTAATGATTTGAAGGGGATACAATGGGATTATGAAAGATATTAGAGGATTTAGAGCGATTATGAATAGGGACAGCCAAAACATGCAAATGCATGTTTTGTATGCTGATATGCCTTAACGTGGGAAGCCCAAAAATGGTGTTTTTACATTGGTACGAGCACTTTAGGACCCGGTTCTTAATGCATATATTTGCATATTTCGGCCCTCCCGTGCATATTTGCATATTTGTGCATATTTTGGCAACTTTTGCATATTTTGGTCCATATTTCGGCATTTTTTGGTAAATTTTAGTAAAAATCGGCGAAAATTTTCAATTTTTCGGAATTTTTTTGGTCAAAAAATTTATTATAAAAATTTTATAAAAAAATTTTTTCGAAAAATTTTTCGGAAAAATTTTCTTTTGTTAAATTTCTATGCAATAATCTTAATTCCATAAAATCTTTTAAGAATTTTCTTAAATTGCGGGTTTGAAGGCTAATTTCGAGTTTTTGGCTTAAAATATTGATCTTTAAAGCATATTTTAACTAGTTTTTGGTGCATATTTCAGTGCATATTTTGGCAAATTTTGCATATTTTGGTGCATATTTTGAACTTTTTCGCTGCATATATATGCGCATATTTGGCGATTTTCCGTGCATATTTTGGCTGTCCCTAATTATGAAGGAAGGATCGAGGAAAATTGGAGGGATTAAGGAAATTTAAAAAGATACCATGCGATTACTGATAAATGTCGGATGGGTTAGGGAGATAGCGGAGGATAAATGCATATCTGTAATTCTCAATTGATACCGCGGATATCAGGGGATTTGGAGGGATAAAGGGAGATCGGAGCTCAAGATATTGAACTGATATTTTTCTGAGCAGTTCTATGATCTACTTTTAGCGCCGCAGGCGAAAATTTTGAAAAATTTGGGACCAAAATGCCAAATTTCTTCTTTTTTAAGCGCCGCAGACGAAAATTTTGAGAATTTTGGAAAGTTGGGTATATTTCTTGCGGTTTTTTGCGTTAATTTTGGCCAAATTTACGCAAAACGTAACGCAAGGCCAAAAATCAACGCAAAACGCAAAAAACGCAATGCGCCCACCCCTGATTGAGACCTTAATTTTGGCATTTTGTCGGTCCCTAAATCGTTGGATTAGAGACCGGCGCGTGACGGGATCACGACTGGATTTTCCGGGATCCCGGATTTTTTCGGGATTTGTCCCTCCCGGCATCGGTTAAGAAAAAATCACGACTCGGGATCCCGGAAATTCGATTTTTCCGGTCTCTACGTTGGATATCTGTTTCTTCTCTTTTAAACGAGGATAGGGTTCTAATAATTCCTGTAAATATTTCCCTACTCTTTTAACAAAATAATTTTCTAGGCCAGATTTAATACTTTGCAATGGCCCAGCAATTTGTCTACCAATTTGTTTATTTGCTCGTCTCTTCAATTTTTTAAGAATAAAAAGAATTAAAATTATTTTTGTCGAGTCAATATGTAGAGTCCAAACACTTTCACTTACTGGACGTTTGTTTTATTTTCTTTAAATTTTTGAAATAAAATTTTTAGGTATTCTTTATCATTTAAATATACCAAATGCTTTTCTTGTTCAATGGCCTTCTTTAAAAGAGAAATACAACAAAACTCAATTTATTGGCCGCCTTGTCTAATAAAAAATTTTTTTTTAATTTCATTGCATAATATTTTTTAACGATTAGATTTTACAAAATTAAACTTTTATTTAAAAATTTTTTAGATTAAAAAAACTTTTTATTTTTCTCTTTTAATAAAATCTTTAATAAAAAGTACAAAAGATCTTTTACAAGGGGTTAATTTCTGCCTTCGGCATCAGCAACAATTTAGGAATTAAAATCAAATTTCCAAGGGGAAAATCCAAAACAAACTTCCCAGGAAATTTATCGCATGTCACAAATTCTTGGTTCAGACACTATATTTTTGCCGCCTCCAGTCAAACTTCCCTCAACTCATACAGTGTGTCCAATAATGATACGTCCACCCTAATTTTTACCGATTTTGGTATGCTATTGACATATAAACTCTTTAAAAATTTTTATAATATTGAATTGTACTAAAATATTAAGATTAACACTAATATTTTAAATTAATTAGCAGTTTTTCACCTTTTTAAAATTATTTTATCTAAATAAGCTGTCCAAAAATGATACGTCCACTTTGAAAAACTAACAGAGATAATATTAGAAATGGTTGGAAATTTTTACAAAAATTCCTGGGAATATTACCAGTGATAATGAGTAAAATATAAAAAAGAATGAAGTCTTTAAATGATTTTTTCATCAAGATCCAAAATCTCTAAAATCAACGGGAAATGGGGGCTACAGTACATAAAAAATATTTTCACAAGTGTAGATTGTACATAAAATTTTTCATTATAGTCCATCTGAAAGCCCACAAAATTTGCTACGTAAAACACTTAGTCCTATCCTGGAGAAAAATTTTTCCTTCGAGGAGACTAGGGTTAAATCTAAAAACTCGAAGTAATGACATTTTATGGGGTGATTTGAAAGAATTTATTAAACTTTTCATTTAAGGTAGAATTTCTCGAAGGTAGAATTTTTCTACAGGATACGACTAAGTGTTTTTTGTAGCAAATTTCAAGGGCTTTCGAATGAACCCAAAATGAGAATTCGGAATAATTTATAAGGGGTCGAAAATATTTTTTTAAAGGATTTACCCCTATTTTACGTTGATTTTCGAGGTATCAGGATCTCGACTTCGGATTAGGTTATGGGCCTAGTTCTTTTTTATTTTTTCTTGATATCAATATACATGTTTACTGGAATTTTTGTAGATTTTTTCTAATGTTGGAAATAACTTTTTGTAAAGTGGACGTATCATTTTTGGACACTTTAGTTTGCTAAAATAATCATTAAAAATTTTCTAATAGATATTTAATCAGGAATACTATTGCTAATCTCAATATTTTAGCACGCTACAATATTATAAAAAATATCACAATGATAATATATCAATACTATATCAGAATCGGTAAAAATAGAGTGGACGTATATTTATTGGACACACTGTACATCAAAGCGGACGTGCTCGCTTCACTGATATGAGGACTACTGTGTACAGCAACAGGAATACACTTCAAGAGAGGAAGCATGCTCTTAATTCTTCTAAAAACTCAATTTTTACCTAACATTTATAAATAATCAAAAATTCATCCAAATATTTACTCAACAAAATTTAAATTATCCAACTTTTTTAGATGGTCGAAAGACAAAAATATAATCATAAACAAACAAATACTCATAAATTTAAAAAATTGTCTTTCCTTATATTTTCCTTTCTTTACCATTTAATTATTTACTTCTCCTCTCTCCTTCACTTAATTTGTGCCTTCGGCATCAGCAACAATTGGAGCCGTCTCCGGTTCCTCAACGCCGCCATCAGAAGTCCACAGAGTCAAATTGTCGCGAAGAAGTTGCATAATGAGAGTCGAGTCCTTGTACAAATTCTCGTCAAGAGTGTCCAACTCAGCAACGGCCTCGTCAAAAGACTAAAAATATTTTGAAAAATTATTCAAAATTATCAAACAAAAAAACCTGCTTAGCCAACTGACAAGCCTTGGCCTTATTGTCGAGAATCTCAAAGTAGAAGACCGAAAAGTTGAGAGCCAGACCAAGACGAATTGGATGAGTTGGCGGCATTTTGTCCTTAGCAATATCTTTTAAATAAAAAAATATTTAAAAAAAATCAACAATTCAAACCGAAAGCCTCTTGGTAACTCTGTTGCGATTTGTCGATAACATCTGAATAGTAAAAGATTTTTAAAGAATAATTCAATTTTCAACAAACCAGTCAACTCATCACCAGAAGAAACCTCAGCCAGATAACGATAGTAGTCGCCCTTCATCTTAAGGTAAAACACTTTAGAATCAGGAGTTCCAGCTTTCGGAATAAGAAATTTGTCCAGAAGATTCTGAAAATGAATTGAAATTATTCTAAAGTCAGCGGTATCACTTCCTAAAACAGGACATTAAGTGGAACAGAAAAAGTTGTACAGCATCGCAAAAAAGGTATACTCCAATCGCTTTTTGAGTTAGAAGTTTAACGTTCCCAACTAGATATTCTACTCGTGTCGCTTCAAGCTAATGTGGGAAGATATCGATCAAGAATATCGAAGAGCATTTTTTACTTTTTCAGGAGCCCATGATCTTAAGGTCTACCGAAAATCCAAACTAGCCCCCAGCTCTTTTTGTTTAAGTTCACAACTATACAAAAAAAAGTTCCAAAAAGTTAAGCTTACCATAACACCTTTGCAAATGTCACGCAATTCACATTCAACCTTCTCACGGTATTCCTTACTCATCGTCTTCTTCCCCCCTTCGGTCTTTTGCTCAATAGACGAAAGCACACGCCAAGAAGAACGACGAGCCCCAACAACATTCTTATAAGCAACCTTTGAAATTACTTAAATTTAACAAATCAAAAAGATAAAAACCGAGAGAAGATTGCGCTCCTCATTGGACAGTTCGTCTCCAAATTCGGTAACCTTCTTCATTGACTCTGCCATGTCATCATAACGCTCAGCCTGTTCGGCGAGTTTGGCAAGCTGAACAAGTTCTTCCTTGGTCTCAGTCACCTTGTCAGAGCAATCCAACATTGTCTCCGTCATTATTGTTGAAAGAAAATTAAGCGTAAGAAGATAATATGTAATACTAAAATAAAAGGGAATTGATAATTATATGGGGAATTGATGATAAAATAAGTACTAAAAAAGATTGAAACACAAAGAAAGCAAAGAAAGTCCTCTAGAAAATTAAGAGGTGCCTATGAGGGAAAAAGTCGGTACCATCCGTTTATCGACACATGTCCGAAAAATAGGTTCCAACGCGAAGGATCCAGAACTTAAATAGAGAAATAGGGAACGTCAGCATTAAGCCTAATGAAAATAACAAAAAAAGTTCACCCCCAAAAGAATGATAAATAGTGTAGTTACTTCTCGTTAAGCTTAAATACAGAAAAAATCAATCTAGAAATAATACTAGCCCCTAAAAACTACAATCGTTACATCACAAACACAAGAAAAATTAAATGTATGGAAAAGAATGCTAATTGCAAGCAGATAAAAATGAAAAAAAAATTAGAAACCACACTTTTATAGCAAATTTTGAGATAATGGATAAAATGTCGAAAAATTAAACATTATGCCAAACTTTTATTTTGACACTAAATTTAAGTGCAAATTTAAAAAGGATTTTTAACTGCCTTTAAGAAAGGAGAGGACTTTTCTATTTAAAATCAGACGTGCTCACTGATATGATATATCCGCGGATATTTGCGGATATGGACAGATCCGTCCACCGTTTTTTTTCAAATTCATAACTAAGATCCCCAACATCCCGAGTTCGGGCCAGCAAGTTCAGGGAGTTAGCCTATTAAGTTAATGATAGCTTCGAGTCTAATCAGTGCTCCCAACATAAGACGCCAGAAAGGAAGAAATCTCGCTTCTTGGTCAATGCAATAAAACAACAAACCCAAACCAGAACATATTTAAAAAACTGGATGAATCTTAGTGAGGCAAGATTGTCCCCTCACTACTTATAGTCAACGATGTTAGAGGAAAATAAACATTTTAAAAATTTTTTGAATATAAAATTTTATTCTTTCAATTTCTACAAAAATTAAAGTTTTTATATAATTTTTATTGGCAGAGTAAATTTTTGATGTAGATTTTTTATAAATTCAGTCAAATCTGAAAGAATTTTTTTTGAAATTCTTAATTTTTTAATAAACTTGCCGTTGGTGATAGCGAATATTTCCTCTCTGTAAAATAATTTTTAAAATATTTTTTATGAATTTGTTAAAATCCCCACCCAAGGCCAATATGTTCTGTATGTATAAGAACTTCCATAGCCATAAGGGGCTGGACGCCAAACAGCGCGAACAGTGTCCTAAACGTTTAAAAGAATGTCAGAAATCTTTATATGTACATTGTCTATTAATTATAACGTTTCTCAAACAACAGGTTATCTCCTCCTTCAAATTGAATCAATTCAAGAATAATGAGAACAAAAGTTCTTTTATCTTCGAAATAATTTACTATTACATATTTTACTCAGGTAAATTTATGGCAAAATCAAGATCTCTTCCAATGGGATCTTCCAATCCCATCCAATGGATGGGATCTCTTCAAATTTTTAAAATACGGCAGGACATATCCCTGTTCTAGGGCAATTATTTGAGGGAGGGTAATCAAGAAACATTTAAAAAATATTTTTTATATTTTAAAACTTGCCAGTAAATAAGTGTAGTAATTTGAATTTGAATTAAAATCCCTTAAAAATATTTTAATTTAAAATTTTCAGTTTTAAATACCATGTGGGATAAAAAGTAGGTACTCGAGTATAATATGGAGATTCATAAAAATATCGAGTACTTTCATGTGTTGAATAGACCTTTAAAAGGAGGGGGAGGAAGGAATATTTTTTAAAAATTAAAAAAATATTTACGGGGTATAGAGAACTGCTTCGATGGTGTGGCCAATAGTAATAAGTCCGGCTGTTGTGATAAGGGTTATAAGCTGTTGACCAACGTTGCTATAAAACACAGTTTCTAAAAATTCTTTTTAAATTTTACCTTAAAATAATCGCTAGCATTTGTATATGCTGAAATATCACTGACTGAATAAGTCCTTGCCAACTAGATTTAATTAAGGAATTATTTAATTTTTGTAAAGCTTACTCGAGAATGGGAGTTCCAAGCAATCATTGGAGAGGAACGTGAACGGTGAATTGGATGTCCACTCATTTTAGGTTTCTTTAAAAAAGGTATCTAAATTATCATGCCAGGACAAAACACCGTCCAACAAAAAAAAAACAATTTTTAAAGTAAGTCCAATAGCCGTAGGGTCTAAGGATATTAAGATAAAATAATATCGACAAACGGATCTATTTGTGGTTCACTCTAATATAGGGAAGGTATCATTGTCGGACGGTGTTTTGCCCCTCCTAGATTATAATAATCTCAAACTCAAATAAATACGAACAAAAGTTTAATGTTCTTAGATAATTATGCTATGATTATTTTATTTTATAAAAGTTGGGATGAAATTGGTCTATATTTCTCCACGTTATATGTAGAGAAGATAAATTTTAGAGACATGGATCAAGCGTTCTTTTAATCCATAAATATTGATCACTTCTAAACAATTGTTGAATTAGAAACAAGCTAAGGACAAAATGGAGGAAGGCTGGCGCTTTGCCATTAAAACAATTGGTGAGGAATTTATTCTTAAAAGTTGAAGAATTTTAAATTTAATTGGGAGCTCTCGTTCAATTTCAAACAATTTTGTTATACAAATTAACAAAGGAGAGTGCCTGAGGTGTCCGTGCGACTTCGGGATGAAATTTGATAGACAGATAGATAATACCCTACTTCTATTGAACTAAAGTATGGTATGATCTACCCGTCTACCAAATTTCATCCCGAAGTCCCACGGACACCTCAGGCACTCTCCTTTGTAAGGACCGAACAAATTATGTAATTAATTGAGTGTAATTTTGAACAAAAAATTATTAAAAAATGTTTATTCATTTTTAAATGATTATATAGTATGTACTTTTGTTTATATAATTATTACATTGAGCAGAAAAATTAAAATATACAGATTGAAGTATTGAAAATTTTCTAAAGTAGAATACTTAACAAAATTTTTAAATTGAAAGGGAAAAGAATTTAAATGAGGTTTAACGAATCATTTAAAATATATATTTAATTCAATTCAGATTCATTTTATTTTAATGTAGAATTATTTCACAAAAATTGCAAGTATTTCAACTTTCCATTAACATTCAAATTGCAACTGGCTGTAGAAAAAAGTAAACTGTGAGGATCTGAAATGGAGGAAAAAAATAAATTAAAAATATCTACTACTTATAATCCTTATTAAAGATCGAACTGGGACGTACGAGAATCAAGATCTCAAAATTTGTACCTCATAACCAAAATTTTTGACCGAAATCTCGTCTCAGTCCTATCTTTAGTATTTATAATCATTTAAAATTATTGACAAACTAATAAGGTTGCGCTGGAAAATCTGGCTATAGCAGCACCTCAGAGAAAGACTAATTTTTAAGGTTTTGAGGGAATTATTATTAAAACATCAGGATATTCTTAGGAATTTCAATTCAAATTTATTAGGATTTCCCGATTTTTATTTATTTAAATTTTTTGTAATCCTTAGTCATCAATTTTGTATTTTCTTCTGAACAACCCCACTTTATTTCTAAATTTCTTACCCCCAAAACATAACTAGCAACACATTGACCAGTTACTGATGGCCGTAGCCAATTCGGAATAAAGGTATATTGCTGTTGTTGTTGCTGTTCTGGATCTATCCATCTTGGAGTTAAAAGAACAGAAACACAAAAAAGAAATGAAATTACTGCCAGCCAGTAAAAGCTTTGAGTATTCTAAAAATATTTTTTTTACTTCAAAATTTATGCCCTAAGATTGTGAGGGTAAAATAATTTTTTAAATAATTAAGAAATTCAGAGAATAAAAAGACTAAAATGAGTGACAAGTTTTCCCAATTTTTTACTTTATTTTTTTTACATTTTCTGCAATTCCCCCTCCATCATTCCTTCTTCCTCTGTTAATATTTGTAGAGAATTTATGTATTGATCTATTCGAATTTATTGTTGCTTGTCTACTCGTTGTTGGAAGTTCATTTTCATCAAATTCCAACATTGAAGTTGAAGAAACATTTTTTGTTGGAATCGAAGTTTTTAATGTATTTAATTGAATTGATTTAATACCGGAAAGCTTTAAAAAAAGAAATTGAAAAATATGGATGTTAATTTTGTTGCCCTCCCCTAAATGTCCCCGAATAGTGTTTCAAATTAAACGGTACAAAAATTAGAGAGATTGGGTGGATTTTGAACCCATATAAAAATTTGTTAGTGCCATTGGAGGCAAAAATGGTAAATGAATATATCCCCCAATAAATCTCCTTAAAAGTAAACAAATTTTTTACTGACCGCAGAATCATTTAAAGAACAAATTTCTATTCTTAAACAATCACTTCCAATAACTGTTGGATTTCTATGCCTTATTGTACTTAAAATTAAATTTATTTTTTGAATTAAAAAATTCATTACATATCAATATAACACCCGGCACGAATCGTTCCTTTAGTAAGGCCGAGAGCATAATTAGAAGGCGCATTACAAAGAACTAAAGGAGAAATAATTTTTTAGAAGTTTTCCCTTTAAAAATACCTCGAAAGTAAATAGGGAAAGGGTAAGGATTGAAAATTGTCAGCAAAGATTTTTGGGTATCTGGTTTGTCGACTATAAAATTGATTTCACCTGAAATAATTTGTTAAATATTTTTTAAATTTTTCTAAAAAAATTTTTTTACCCGGTTGAACAAAGACAGGCAAACGCTGTGCTTTTTGATTGTGAATATCCATTTTAGCTGTTCAAAATAATATATTATGCAAAAAATAAAAGCATTCAGCCTCTAAAAAATAATATTTTTCTGAAAAAATATTTTTAAAAATATTTAATGTTCCTCAAAAACAAATAATAAATAAAAATTTAAAAATAAAAACACAATTTATTTTTCATTATATTTAAATAAAAAATTGACAAAAACTCACTCCCCATAATTTTTAACAAAAACAAACAAAGTTTGACTGTATGAAGAGATAAAGGAAATAGAAAAACAAATTTTAAAAAATGAAACAATTTTCACATTTGAAAATGAAGAAAAAATGACAAAACATAAATTTGGTAACAAAATAAAAATAAATTTAAAAAAGTATTATTACTTTGATAAATGCATAAACATTTTATGTATCTGGCCATTTTTTATTTTCGCATTTTTCTTCGTTCCTTTTTCTCTTAATAATGTTCAAACCAGGTTTTTCTTTTTGATTCAGAAAACTGGTTGGACACAAATGACTGGATAATCAAAAAAATTTTGATCTGGATATCGGTCCCAGATAATAAAAGATAAAGTTCGGCTCTAAGTAATGGCAGAATTTGCTAGAATCCAGTGACTAGAATTTCCCTGATCATTCAGGGTATTTTCCCTACAGAGTTAAATGAATTCTCTGGAGCTTGATTTTTAGCTCAAGATCCAAGAATTTTCACGTGACGCTAAATAGGACGAAATAAGGATTATAGGACATATTAAATTCTAAATTTTTCGCTTGCGATATTAGAAAAGAGGATTCCTATTTTCTTTTTCATCTTAAAATTCATGTTTTCTTAATTTTTATATGGTAGTTGAAAATTTAAAGTGATCCAAGAAAATATACAGACCAGGGGTAGAGCGTTTCGAAAAAAGATTTTTCAAAAATATTATTTGATAATTTTTTGGGTAATGCAAATAAAGTCCAATTTTGAAGTTTTAGCTTAATTTCAACAAAAAACTCGTTCATAAACAGAAATCTCGATAACCGAAATTTTCGATAGAGATCTCATCTCAACTTATTGAGACACAAACCAAATACATAAACAAAACAAAAACTTAAAAATTATTTTTGGTCCTTAAATTACTTATATATAAAACTTAAAATCCTTTCTCTTAATTAGTATATTATGAAAAATAAATATATAATATATTGAAGTCCGACGAGTAAAAGAAATAAAAAAAAAGGTGTTACACACGTAATATATTAATAATATTACAATAAAGACGCACAAAAATAATTTTAGATCAATTTTGGCGGCAGATAAAAAAATAATAATCCAAATTAAGTGTAACATAAATATATATATAAAAAAGAGATAAGAAGTAGTAAAAAATTATATTATTATATATTAGCCCTAAAAATAGTTTTTATCTGCAAGTATCGGACTTCAGGATGTGAAAAGAGCTGCCAATTTATGTTGTCCTTCATTATGTGTATATCCTAATCCCACCAATTCTGCAAAAAGGGATATGTAATTACTCGGATAAAGAATAGAAGAATAAAAAGGGAATTCTAAAAGAGAATTAGAATTAAAAATAGAATTTCAAGGTCCGCTTAAAATCCGCTGAAACAGATAACTTAAACAGAAAACAAAGGACTATAAACAAAAATTAGACATTTCAATATAAACCATAGTATATTGGAAAACAACCGGCTATTAACCGGTACTGTTGATTTTAGGTTAATCCAAATCTTAAATAACTACGGTTTCAGTATTTTTAGCAAAAAATATTAAAATTTCCGGTCTTAAAACTAGTTGTCATTAAAATCGATGGTACATATTCTTTCTTTAATCAACTCTTAATAAAAGAATAAAAAAATAAATAGGAAATTTACTCTACACGATGGTTCAGATATTAACATGACAAATTTTTGGATATAATTCGAGATGGTTATTTAAACCTATGTTAAAACTAATCTAATATACAATTTAGTTATACTGACCTGTTGAATTTGTTGAGGGGCCCGATTCACCGGTTTATGTTGTTGCTGCTGCTGTGGTATAGCAGAAATACGCGGAGAAGCAGAAGTACTTCCAACGCCTGAATTTGGCACAAAACCGACTGGATTTGCCACAAACCCATTTCCACGCCAATCATTATTTTGATGACCAAATTGATGCATTCCACCACCAACACGAACTTGTGGAGTGTACTGCACACGATGGTCACGTCTATTTATTTATTTTTAAACGAATTTCTAAATATTTTATTAGACTAACCCTCCAAAACGATTTGAACTTCCACCACGCCGCCCACCACCGCCTCCATGAGTCCGAACACCTCCATATTTGCCTGACTCGCGAGAAATTTGTTCAAGCCAATCGGGTAATTGCTAAAAATAAAGTCAGGTAAATTATCTAAAAAATTTCAAAAAACCTGATTAGTTTCAACAATTAATTCAGCCAACTCATGAGTAATATTTCTATTTTTGTCATTAAAAAATGAAGTTGCCAATCCTCAAAAAATAACAAAATAAAAACCAAACAATACAAATTAAACCAATATTTCCCACACGTCCTGTACGTCCAATCCTATGAACATATTCATCAATATCTTTAAAAGAAAAATTAAGAAGATTAGAAAAAATATGAAAATAAACTATTTGGAAGGTCATAATTTATCACATGTTTAACATTCGGAATATCAAGTCCTCTAGCAGCAACGGCTGTAGCAACAAGTATTGGTGTCGATCCAATTCGAAAACTATCCAAATGGCGTTCACGATCCATCTGTTTCAAATCTCCATGAATTGCAACACATTGATAGCCATCACGTTGGAGTAGATAAGCAAGCTATAAAAAATCGTAATATAAAAATAAAACAAAAAACAGACATCGCTACATCCACGCTTTGTTTCAACGAAAATTAAAGTCAAAGCATCAGGTTCACTGCCATCCAACAAATCTAAAATTAATTTTAAAGAATTTCTGAACATATTCAAATAAAATACCGGCCAAAAGGTGTTTTTTGTTATGTTCTTCCACCCAAAGAACTATTAAATAAAAAAATTATTGAGACAAAATATCCAATAAAAACCGTTCTGACGAATGTTTTCAGATGTTGAACCAACACGTCCAACAGCAAGAAACACCTAAAAATTTAAAATTAATCTTAAATATTTGAAAATTTACATAATCAGGCATTAGAAAATCCTGAGCTAAAACTTGTATTTCCTTTGGGAAGGTGGCAGAAAACATTGCTTCAAAAATAATTTATGAATAAAAATACTTTAAAATTCCCAAACCTGTAATTCGTTCCCCTTTAACTGGCATGTTTGAAGCTTCAACAATTTGACGAATTTGGGGCTCAAACCCCATATCTTAATATTTATACAAAAAATAACATTTAAAAAACCAAGAACAAACCTAACATACGATCAGCTTCATCTAAAACTAGATAATGACAAGAAGTCAAAGCTATATAGCCATTTTGCATAACATCAATTAAACGACCTGGTGTAGCAATTAAAATGTGACAACCTAACTAAAATAGCCAAAAATTAAAACAAAATTAGGTAACTCGCATTACCCGCCCGCACATTTTTAACTAATCAGATGGTATTTATTATAAAAATCGAAAAATCTGTAAAAATCATTTGAAGGGGCTGCTGTGTCGAACGAAATGTAAAGACGAATTAGCTGGACAAAATTGTGACAAGTATTGAGAGAAGGTTTGTTAGAAATATCAATTAGTTTAATTCCACTCGACTCGTTCAAATGAGCCAACGTTTGCATGTTTTCCCGTATTTATTTGCTTATAACAAAATCAATAAATCGCTAGACAGGTTCAAAACACAGTACCGAAAAACCTAACATGGGCTTCCGATCAGGCCCGTAGCCAGGGGGGGGGGGGTGAGGGGGGGAATTCCCCCCCCCGAAATGGGAAAAAGGAAAAAATTTGGGGAAGGGCTGGGGCAAAAAAGTGAATTTTTTTGGCCTACGGCCTCTGAAATTTAAAAAATTTTCGCCTGCGGCGCTAAAAAAGGAAGAAATCTGGCTTTTTAAGGTCCAAAATCCAAAAAATTTTCGCCTGCGGCGCTGAAAATCAAAATTTTGGCGCCTGCGGCGCCGAAAGAGTGAATTTTTTTGGCCTACGACCTTCTAAAATTCAAAAAATTTTCGCCTGCGGCGCTGAAAATAAAAATTTTTGGCGCCTTCGGCGCCAAAAATTTGGCGCAAAAAAATTTCCCCCCCCCCCCGAAAAAAAATCCTGGCTACGGGCCTGCTTCCGATCATTATATTTCGCCTACGCCGAAACTCGTAATATTATGCGCTTTCAATGTCAAAAAATAAACGTTAGGTTGCCCTGCCCATTATATCTATTAGTTAGTTAAAAATGTGCGTGGGGATAATGAAATGTATTATTGACCCGTAATTTGTTGATTTGGTCACGATAGTTCTCCCGCCCTCCATACAACAGGGCAGAAGTGATCGGCGTACGATACGAAAACTTTCGCGATTCATTGTAGATTTGAAGAGAAAGTTCACGTGTTGGAGAAATAATTAAAGCCAAAGGATACTGACAGGTACGGAAACTTTTATTTTCAATGGTTTTCTATATAAATTTATTAGGAAAACTAAAAAGAAAAAACAACCGGTTTAACTTTTGAAGGTCCATCTCGAAGAATTGAATTTATGACTGGAAGAAGAAATGCAGCAGTTCTAGAAAAATAATTATAGAAAAAAAGAAGCTAAACAAACTTTCCAGATCCAGTTTGCGCACAAGACATTAAATCACGACGAGAGCTCAAAGTCGGAATAGAATATTTCTGGATAAGATTGAAAAAAGTTATTTTAAAGGAAAAAACCTGAACAGGAGTTGGTCGATCATATCCACACTTTCTAATATTTTCTTCAATCCAAGGATGGAGGCTTAGACTCTGATCAGTAAACTGTGAGAAAAAAAGAAAATTAAACCTTTATTAAGTAACTTACAGTTTGAATAGGTTGTGGACAATTGATCCCAGTCGCCTCAACAGGAATCTCTTCGTACTTATCAAAATTGATTCCAGTATTCTGCCCAGAAAACCTAAAAGAGGGAAGATTCAAAGGAACAAAAAATAATTTTAACAAACAATTCAGCTTCAATTCGAGGATCCGGAGGTCCCCTTTCTTCCCAAGATTGTGCTGCTCCTTGTGCCCCCTGTTGTGGCGCTCCCTGTTGCCGCCAATTACCACTGTCTTGCGGCTGCCGCCAATTACCGTTCTGTTGCCGCCAGTTACCGTTTTGCTGTTGACGCCAATTACCGTTCTGCTGTTGGCTTTGTGATCGGTGTAACAAATTTTCGCGATTCATTGTAGTAAAGGGAGAGTTAAGTGCTGGGGAAATAATAGTACAAAAACTTTTATTTTCAAAGGTCCTCTATAATAAGCACAACAGGCTTAACAAAAAAATACAATAAGAAAAAAAAACTTTTTATAAAAAAATTTTTTTTGACAGAATGCCAAAAATTAATCTCGTCTCTGTACAAAAGACCGGTGCAATCAAAAGACCGGAACGGGCAAAAAGGGGTTAAAAGACAGGTTTCGGTCTTTTTTGCCAGTTACGTGGCAGTTCCTGTCTTTTTTTGCACCGGTCTTTTGTACAGACACGAAATTTGTGGATCCGAGTCTGAATATTTGGAAAATTTGTCTACTGGGTCTAAAATGGTCAGGCTTTGTTTCAGAAATACGGAGGGGTAGAAGATGTTTCTTTCTCTATGGTTTCCGGAAATCGTGGTTGTTGTCTGTTTAAATTAAATTAAATGGTCCCTCTAATTAATCTAAGCTACTTAACAACACTTTATTAATCGCAGACAAAAAGAAAAAAATAATTAAGATTTACAATTAGTATATGATAACGGAAAAATATCCCCTTCGGATGCTGTCCATCTGTACACAACCATAAAAACTGCACCCATCTCGCCATTAAAAGAGGAGGAAATTTATTACCGCATTTTTATTGATTTGTTTTGGTCATTGCTCTTGTCCATTGCGCTTAAAGAATTTTCTTTTTCAGTTATAAACCTTAACTTCCGGATTATTTATTTGACGTTATATTAGTTGCGCTTTTAGAAGAGATTTATTGCTAATTTTTTAATTTTATTTTTAGTGCAATTAATTAAATTTTGAACGCTTTAGCCAACATCTTGGAAACGTAACAATCTCTTTTCTTAATGGTTTGAAGCGCCTTTTCATTACTGAACCTTGTAAATTTTTAATACTTAAAAAAATTTATTTTATTTATTTTTAGACTTTAGTTTAGATGTTGGCATTTTTTGAAGGCTCTTCTATTTCTTTTAGGATATTGTCAATTCTTTTACTTTTTACTTTAACCACGGTGGGTTTTTTAGGTACTTGTGGGTATCCCAAACCAGTCTTTGCGGACAAATTTATGTACGGAAAGGTCAAAGGTTTGTCCTTCCTCGATTTCACTAAATCTTCCTCGATTTCACTAATTTTTCCTCGATTTCACTAAATTTTCTCTGTGGCATTCTTCAATATAGCATTCTTCCGCATAAATATGTCCGCAAAAACTGGTTCTGAATAACCCACAAGTACTGTCTTTTATTTAAAATATTTTTAAAATTTTAATTTAAGTGTCAGTCAAACAACCAAAATTTTCCTACTTCTATTGCAAATCAAGTAGACTCGAAATTGGATGAAGTTGAACCTTTGTCGATTCCACAGAGAAATTCACAAGATGATTTTGAAGGTTCTGGGGTTAATCCTGACGACGAAGACGGGGATGTAGATGAAGGATCTGGAGGTTTTTCATAAAATTATATTCAATTCTGTTTCAAATTTAGATGGTATTGAAGGTTCAGGAAGCCTCCCTATTGATGACAACGTTCAGATAGATACACAAACGAATATAAATAATATCGAAGAGGTTTTTTTTTAAATTTTTCCTTTAAACTGCTCATTCCATTTAGAAATTTAAGAGGGGTCGCAGATCTTTGACCATTATGAGACCATGTTCTCTTTCTACGAATCAAAATTTATCCTTCTTTACTCCTTACTAACATTTATTTTTCACAAATCAAATGTATGTCAATTGAAATTTAGTGCCAAAATCATAGTCTCAATGGTCAGAGCAGGGCTGTCCCCTTAAACGGCAGGAGTACCAAAAATTTTTTTCCTTAGTTTTATATTTTCACTACCTCAATTATTTCTTTGATATACTAATTTACAGATACGGAAGGGCAATATTGAATTAACTGGGGTTCCAGTTTCTCCCAAAACAAATGTGACAGCAACAGAGAGCGAAAGTTTGCCTCGAACATTTAAGCCTGCTACAAAAACTGAGCAGCCTCTATTTTCTGATACACGGGTTAATATAACCAAAGAATCAACGCCAGCCTCTACAACAATTGTAAAAACCAAAGAAATCAAAACAAGTACAACAATCAAAGAAAAAAGTGAAAAAGAACGTTTTCCAACAGATTTTGTCCCTCCCATTCCAACAACAACTAAAAGGCCAACAACTACTTCAACAACTAAAACAACACCCAAAACAACAATTTCACCTACTAAAAGCACAAAATTGCCAAAACAAAAAATGCCCCCTCCGCCTTTTATTGTCGATCCAACGGGAACTTTGGAACAGCTCAAACCTGGAGTTTTTGCACGTAAATTTTTCTTCATTAACTCTTGGTTTTAAATTTTGGGTTACAAAGTATCTAGGCAGTGTTGACATGGGTTAAGAAAAAATGGCGGGTCGGAGTTTCAGAATTTTCTTCGGATCGGGCTTCAGGTTACTGAGTAACCGATGACATTCCAGATTCGAAGTAAATACTAGAGGTCGGCAAAATTGCATTCCTGGAATCCCGGAACGGGATTGAGTTTAAAAATTTAGAACGGGACGGGATTCCGCGGGATTAATTCTGTAACTCCCGGGATTTTGGGACGGGATCCCGTAAAATCCCGTACGAGGTCCCTTTCCGTGCCGAGCTCTATTAAATACTATACTAAAAAATTGCTTTTTGTCCACAACTTTTGTTCACAAATGTTTATTGGCTTCAAATTTCTAGGAGTTTAACCTTTTACTATTTTTCCCTCTACAATTTATTTTTTAAAGATTTAATAAATTTTCAGTTATTGTTGGTGGTGCAGTTGTTTTTGTACTATTAATTATATTAGTGATTACTTACATTTTCTATAGGATAAGGAAAAAGGATGAGGTAATTTTATTTGATTTTTTAAATTTAAAAATTAATTCTTTTTGAAGGGTTCTTATATTTGTGAAGATCATGTTCAAACACATCGGTTTTCAAATTACTACCAAAAAGCATCGACAAAAGAATTTTACGCTTGAAAAAAACAACGAATGTATATTTAAATATCTAAAATTATTTTTGGGGTTTTTTTGAAATTTATTTTTTTCCAAAAAGTTTCGCATATTTTCTTTTTCTCTCTTGGTATCGTTTAAATTTTGTTGCGAAACTTTTACCGAAAAGCATAACATGAGACATACCTACCAGGGATCTAGTCGACCCGATTCCTGAAAACCGGGATTTTAATTTTTATGTAGGCTAGATCCCTTATACCTAATAAATATCCGTGAAAAATAAATGACGGGATTTGAAAATTTTGTTTTTAATTTAATGTCCACTTTTTTTAATTTATGGGAAGGTATTGTCTCCTAAAATGAAATTTTTTGGGGGTATTTTCAAAAAAAAATTTTTTGAGAATTTTTAGAAGAAAAAAATTAAAATGTTTTGGGGATATGCAGGTATTGTCTACATTAGAGACCGGACTTGAGTGATCGTTCGATAATATCGATATTATTGACATCGATATATCGTAACGATCCGGTCTCTAGTCTACATGTTCTTATTTAAATGAATTTTTTAAAATTCACTTGTTCTCTAAAAATATTTTAATTTTTGTATTATCCAAAAAATACTTTTCTACACTCAATCCATTATTTTCAGTATTTTTGCTTTTTTAAATTTGTAATCGTTGCCATATTTAATTTTATTAATTTTTTCTAAAAATCCTCTTTTCTCTCTATTTAATTAATTATTCTCATTTCTAAATTTTCTTGTGTGCATTGGCTTTGTTTTTTTATATTTTACTGCCAAAAAACTAATCACCAAAAAAGATATGTAATTTTAATTAAATTGATATTGATTTTAAATATTCTCTTTTTAATTATTACGCAATTTTGTTAATAATTTTTTAAGTTTTTTGATGCCAAATAAAATTAATTTAAAAAATTACAGGGTGCGTCATAAGTAATTGGACACTTTTAAATTCCTTATAACTTTCTTTATTATTAATAATTTTAATCGATTTTATGCTTATTTTTTAGCTTATTCAATTCTCTATTATGGCTAGTCAACGTGATTCTATAATTTCACTTTTTTTGAAAAAAAATTCAGTCCGCAAAATTTCATCTCTTTTGGATGTCCCAAAGAGCACTGTACAATACACAATCAAAAAATTCTGGTGAGAATTTTTTGGGAGAAAATTTCTTTTAAATTAATTTAGTAATCATGGCACAACTAAGAACTTACAAAAAAGTGGAAGACCGCGTTCCGTAAGCACTTCCAAGAATATCAAATTGATCAAAATGAGGGTGTATCGCAATTCTCAAATCTCCATGAGAAAAGTGGCTCGTGAAACCGGAATAAGTGAGAGGACTGTCAGACGAATAGCCAAAAATGAACTTGGGTTAAAACCCTACAAAATCCAAAAATCACAACTGCTAACAGAAAAAAAACCAAAAAAGTTAGGCTTGAAAGATGCAAACTGATTTGTTAATAATTTTTTAAGTTTTTTGATGCCAAATAAAATTAATTTAAAAAATTATGTAGTTTTCGACTGTTAATATTTAGATGTTTTTAT